ATGGGGGGACGGATGGTGACTTATTTTTATTTCATTGGATACTGGCTGTACTGAGAACTTAATATATAGCGTTATGAACTTTACTTATAGTATCATAAATTTAACTTATGATACCAAGAACTTAACTTATAGTAAAATTTAATCTTTACTACATAAATTTTGAAAAAACTGCAACTTTTCTACTACCAAACCCACTTTAAATGCCCTCAACCCCCAAACCGGTGTCCATTAACCACAAAAACATTTTAAAGACCCTGTGCCCGAACCGTCGCGGCCTGAGGGCACTATAATCATCCAAAGGGAAGTGATTTGTTTTCTCCGTTCATTATTTTAAGCGTTTGCTCCGTTTAAACTTTTTGGAGGAGCCGAACGGGCGAACGAACCGCGCCCAAAAAGATTGCGTTTTTGTTCAATTTTTCTTTTTTTTTGACCCAAAATGTTCGCTCTGCAGTGGGGGGATGTGACGACGACAACGGTTACCTTGCACCCGGTTCTGAAGCTTGTTTCTCAAACATTTCTGTCATAACTGTTCGGTCATTTACAGCCATTACAACTGGGTTTTCAGCCGAATTTTATTTTGAGTTTTAGGCCGAATTTTGGAGTTTGATTGTGGCTACTTTTGAAAACTTTATTTTTTGATTGCTTCTAAGTGTCGGGCGGGGTGTTTTTGGTCAGGGAAAAGCAAAAGAGATTTTTTTAAAAATTCTATTTTTTGATAGCTTCTAAGTGCCGGGCAGGGTGTTTTGGTCAGGGATGACATTTTTTTGAAAATGTTGATTTTTTAAACTAATTTTATCATATTGTAAATTAATATGGTTTGCAGTTTGCTAACCTATTATTTTCTATCTAAATAATATTATTAGGATGTTCATATAATTCTGTGCTCTCCAATCCTGAAAATTTGCTTTGAAAGGGGCACAGAATTGTTTGAACTATTTAATAAAATACAAAAAAAATTTGAAAAATTGTAGTCGCAGTTGTGTTGCATGTTGATAGGTATAGAAAGAATCACGTTAAGCTATTTTTTACTTGAGGGCAGGGAGAAGGGTGGGGCACGTCTGTCTGAAATAAAACAAAAATTGGCAATGGAATTTTCTGGCTTTTCGTTACATTTAAACGCAAAAATTAAAATAAAATTTAAAAAAAATTCGCAACGAACGAAAAGCCACCATTGGTCATTTTCCATTACAGACAGACGTGTGGGGTGGCTTCATACGTAAAAAAAAGTTTTTTAATTATGGTTTAAAGCCTTTTTAGAAAACTTTTTCAATTGATTTTCTTTATTGTCTTTTTAAAAAAGAAGGTATGCTAATGGCGTTTATATAAAAGGTATTGTATGGTAATGGCGTTATAATTATAGTTATGGTGACAATTTTTTACTTTGGTCTATATTAAATTATGGGAAAAATGTGTATGACAGTTATATTTGAAAAGGGCTCACTAAGCTTAGTCCGGGACTAAGAAACTTTGAGAGAACTTAGCTGCAAAATTGGGCTTGTTTTAGCTCTTAAATTGTGATAAGGTGCTCTTTAAATCTTCAAGCCTTACATAGTTAGTTGAAAGCCTGAATAGGCCGAGCAACAGTTTTGCATTAGTCCCCGAGCACTTAGTACTATCCATTCATTTTTTGCTTTACACTAAATTGAAAAGTTTGTATTACAGCAGAATCTATGTTTTACAGTAGGATCTTATAAGAAACTTTTGGAAAAAATTTTTTGTGTTCTATATGTTTCCATTCACTTTTTGACTAAACTTCCAAATTTTACTTTAAAGTCGTGACGTCTGTATTTTTTCAAAAACCCACCAAAACAGACTAATTACCGAGTTTTATGAAAGATGGTATTGATTGACTAGCCGTTTTGTAATGTTTTAAAATTCGTCCAATTACTCGTTTTATACTTTTTCTGTATATTTCGATTGTAACAGCTTCGGTTTTGTTTCTGTTCACTACTTCTGGTTTATGTTTGTGAAAATATTTATCATTCCATTCATTTTTTACAAAAAAGGCCGCTGCGGTAACCTTGTTATGACAACTTTATCTTCGAATAATTTTGGGTTATTACTTTTTGAGACGGTTTTGTTGCCTTCTGTTTATTTTTTAATTTAAATTGATGAGATGTGATTTTAACATTAATTTTTAAATTAAGATTTAAAGGTAGGGTAAAGTAAAAGTAGGATAAAAAATGTCAAACTAAGTAATGTACTATAGGGTAGGATAAGGCATGTTAGAGTAAGTCTTTCTTTACTAATAAAAGGTAAGGTAAGTACAGAAGCTTAAGACAATGTAGAGTAGGGCAGGGCAAATTAGGTTCAGTTAGACATGAGGAACGGGCGGGGCCGGGTTCATTTTTCAGGACCGGCCCGATTAAAATTTTGCTCAGGCCCGGGTTGGCCCAACTTAAATTTGGGTCAAGGCTTGCCCGGCCGTTCCTTATGCTTAGGTTTAGTAAAGCAGGGTAGAGTAGTGTAGGGTAGGGTAGAGTAGGGTAGGGTAGGGTAGGGTAGGGTAGGGTAGGGTAGGGTAGGGTAGGGTAGGGTAGGGTAGGGTAGGGTAGGGTAGGGTAGTTTAAAAGCTGTAACCAGCTGTCTTAACTGGCTTCAATATTTAAAAAAAGGTTTTCTAAAAAGCAATGAATACCAAGTACAGTCTCAAGCGGTCTGTAATAACATAACGCGTCTCGGGTAAGCTAAACTATTCATGTTGTAAACCCATGGTCACGAGTCGAGACTTCTTCTACACCCGATCCGTCATTCTTGGGAGAGAAAAAGGGCTCGAGACTATAATTGGCAGCTGAATATCTTGCATTTCTCAAAAGTTTTGCAATTTTTGACCTTGTTTTTGGCTGGTTGTGGAAAAGTTTCTTTTAGTTATGACTTTTTTTATGCTGAATAAGGGTTTTATGGTTCTAATTAGACTTCTGGTACTTAAAAGGAAAGTATGCAACCTGTCTCGCTCAGAATCAGCTCAAAATTGTTGTATGAATTTGCTCGGTTTACCATCAATAGTAATTAAAAAAATTTTTAACTTGCGTTTTTGATTTTATTAATTTAAATATTTGAGAGCTCCGCAATAATTTGGCATTGTGTTTCAAGCACTTTTTTCGACTTTTCAGGCAAGCTACGCTTACAATTTTAAAAATGTAGGATGATTTAAAAGTTTTCTACCAGTTTATCAAAATAAAATAGCTAAAAGTAATAGAATGACAAAGTTATAAGCTTGAAACACAATGCCAATTTGGTGGGTAACTCAAAACGTGATTAATTGATTTTGATTTTCTCGAGATTTGCTGGCAAGCGCAATTTAGTACGTTTCTGGGGGTCTTATATTAATTATATTAACATGGTCTTTCTGTATAAAAAGTTTGAATTTAATCAGGGCAGGGCATGTCGGGCACTTTCCTAGTCAACTTCTCCTCCCCCCAGATTTGAACGTTATCCTCCCTGTGGTTTTTTGGAAAAATTTTTTTTTGCTAAAGTCGGCACGTCCCTGGCCATATAGCTTTCATTTTCTTTCTTTTCTTGGCGTATTTTACACATTTTGAGCCTTCATTCATTACTTTTTTAAAAAAATACATTACTTACCAAAAACAGTGTTTTGCACAATAACCGCGCCTTAAACTGTGTCTTTCCTTACAGCTAACAGCTTACTTTACTGTTTGCACTCTGCAAAACGGTCGCCGGAAGTCGGTGTGTTACTTCAATTTATCCCAATTTTGTGGTCGATTTGTTTCGATCATTTCTCGATTCAAGTTGAAAAATTCGAGCGCGATCGATGTATTTTATAGATCAATGATAACACCAGTTTTTTGTTATTTTAAACCTTGTTTTATGTTATTTTTTGGAGACGTTTTTATGTTTTAGGTTATTATATGGGTAATTTTTTATGTACAATACTATTGGTTTTTAAGATTTTTGATTTGGTTTTGAAAACTTTGTCTAAAACAAATTCAATTTAAAATTATGTATTATTATATTAGCTTGTAATACAAAAATTAACAAGGAAACCTGCTCAAATCAAGCTCAAAACATTACGTTTTTAATTTTCCGCCAAATTGGCATTGGGTTTCAAGCTTATAAGTCTGGCATTTTTTGACTTTTAACCATTTTTCTTTGATATACTAATGGAAAACCTTTAAATGGACCTACACTTTAAATTTGTAAGCGTAGCTTGTCTAGAAAGTCGAAAAAAGTGCTTGAAACACAATGCCAAATGTGCCAAAATGACGAGAAGTTCAATTATTTAAAATTTAAAACTCAAAAGCCAAACTGAAATTTTTAATGTTATGGTAATTATTAGCGGTACAAAGAATTCATATAAAATTTTTTAGCTGATTCTGAGCCGGGCAGGTTGGATACTCCCTTTGTTAGCACTTTTAATTTATTTGTAAATTACAAATTTCTATTTTTATCGCGGTAATTTCTTATAAAAGAACCATGATTTAGCTCTAAATAATATGATTTTAGATATTCATCAACAGTTTTTTATTTTTATCCTTTAACCGTTCTGTGTGAACTTCTAAGATGCAGCGTTGTTGTAGCAAAAAGCGGAAATCAAATTAAAGAGATCAAAGTATAACATGAAGTCTTCAATGCATCTATGTCGTGCTTCTACATCTCAAGAAGACGGCACAGACAATTGTAACCGTAGGCAACAATTTGAGTTTAATTTTGGTGATAAGTTAACTGTTATCCAAAATGCTTCTACTTACAACCAAGATTTTCAAGATGACGTACATTTAGTGCATGATACTAGCTTTAATTGCTTGCCCAAAGAGTATAAAATTGGCCATGTCAAGTTTAAAAAGAGGCCACACAATGGAAAACTGGCCCATAAGAACCTAACTAATGTCAGCTCAAGTACATCGTCAACTATTATACCTAGTACTACACCTAGTCAACAGATTTATAGAAAACGTAGAGAAAGTAAACGTCATGTTCGGTTATCTACATTATTAAAAACATCTTCCAAACTACTCTTACTACCTATATTGCTACTAGTTATGATATCCAACGCCGACTCGTTCAGTATCTCACCAAGAGCGTTGACAGCTGATGAGTTGGGAGTACCAGCTTGTGCTGACAACAATGATTGTGTTGCTGGCGGCATCTGTGTTAAAGATGACACGAATGTTGGGAGGTGCATGTGTTCAAGTTCATGCCCTTTGAGTAAGTTTAAGTCTAAGACAAGGAAGTATATAGGAAAGGGTAAGATAAGGTAGAACAGTTCGGGTGGGGTAGATTAAAGTATGGCAGCGTAAGGTAGTGTAAGGTAGGGTAAAGTAGGGTAGGAAAGGGTAAAACACTAATTTCGTATTAAAACTTTCAAGTCAAAAGACAAATTTTGTCTTCATAACCAGCTGTTGTAGATATACCAGTACAATGCTTGTCGCAAAACGAAAACTCGTGTATAAATATGGGTGACAGCTACATGAGAAAATACGATTTTCACCTACCAGTGTGCTACGCGAACAGGTGCATCTGCCCTCCAATATTCGAACCCATCCCGATTCAACCGCCGGTACCCGGCCTCAAGGCCATGTTACCTATGAAGTGTGATAAACGTACGTTTTAGCTAACCCTACGTAGCTGATAAAGCTTTACATGAACAAACATTACATATAAGCCTAGTTTATGCTGATCTTTTATAAATCTTACTAATTTCAGGTGATCTCTCCGCAATGATAGTAGCCTCACCGTCTGATTCGGCCTACAAAGGCACCCAAACCACAATATTTTGTTGTATCAACCTAGACCCTCGTGGCTACATTCCAGAGAACGGTGTTTACTTTGTTCAGAACGGCACTAGGAAGCGAGAAGCCAGCTCTTCACCGTACGAGAACTTCTCGCGCGACATTGACACATTGTTTACTGTGCCAACATGTTGGGCTTTGACAATAACCAACGTACAACCGAGTGACAGCGGGACTTATCAGTGCATCGTACAACCAATGAGTGCCAAGTTCAAAACTGTCAACACGATTATGGAGTTTGTGGTTAAAAGTGGGTTTTTTGAAATTTGAAATTTGTTACAGTAAACAGGATCGTATTATTCTTTAGGTTATTTACTTTTAGACTTAATTTTAAAAGTTTTTAAAATATTTTTTACCCAATTTTTAATTCTACATACCACGATACACATTTTTGCAAACTACACTTCACACACAATTTAATGGTACCCTTAAATGTCTAACATTTTGTTCTTTTTGTATACAGTAAAAGCAAGAAATCATACTCATTAGTAAGAATTATTTGTTCAAAACCTAAAATACAAAAAGTAACCTCTTAATAACAGAGCACCGCCGTTTCCGACGGCAGAGAATTGTCGCGTATCACCAGGTCGTTCGTAAGTAGCGTGCGGTATTTTGAATACTACTGACTGCGGTTTTGAAGTTTGTATAGATATAACTAATCAACCTGAACTCTTTTTACCTTGTCGTAACCTCTTTCTTTTACCTATATTTTTTGGCACCTTAACAGTAAAACCTCTGGGAACATTACAGTGAAACCCCTGTATAAACAACCTAACTTGCCTTATTATATCCTACCCTTTTTTCGTTACAAAGGAGTTCGGTCAAAAAGGAGTTAGTTATAAATTAGGTCATTAGGTGAATTTATGTATTTAATGTTACCTACAAATTTACCAAATTCCCTCATACCAAACTAATTTATGACAGTCGGTTGTCTGCAAAGAAGTCTGTCAAAATTCGCCCTTTTTATTTTTTTAAAGGATGGATAACAAGAGCTACATCATGTGCGTTATTTTTTCGTCGACAAATCACTTTACTCTTCTAATTCATTTACTTTCCAAAGTTATATCATTATTGTAGGGTTAGTATCGTTACCTCAATGCTATTGTAGTATTAGTACCATTAGTTAAATCTTATCGTATTATGAGTATTATTAGTTGGTGATAAGATCCAGGTTCCCAAACTTTACTAAATTTTCATACCTTACAACACAGTACGCGTGCCTAAAATAACAAGATTTTGACGTGCCCAGTAATATGTGTACTATGAAGCGCCTTGTACTCTAACTCTTTTACTTAAACCTAAATTCAAGCCTACAATAATATTGTTCTTTCAGCCCCTCGCATGATACAGAACGTGACGATACAACCGAATGCGACGACAGCTCTGATTCAATGGGACATGTCTGAAGGTCCGATGCTCAAGATCGACCTCGAACTGTTTCGTCGTACTGACAGGAAAACTCGAGTTTGGAGGAAGACAAATGCCAAGTCGCCAGTTCTAATCGAACGTCTGAATCCGGCTACACCGTACACTTTGTTCGTAACAGTCATCGATGGTCAAACGGAACCGTTTAGGCTTACTGAACAGTTTCAGACTGACGAAAACAGTAAGTTACTACGATTTGAAATTGTAAATTCAAAAAAAAATTTTTTGGGAGTTTATTCCATTCTTATGATACCGTATTCTTTTACCAAAGCACATTTCGACATCCTTTTATTAAAATGTATAATACCTTCAGTATCCGACCCGCCAGTCCTCGAAGACATCCGACTGATCAACGCCGAGAACGGCCGTAGTCAAATGTGTGAAGTCGAATGGAAACCGCCCAGATGGCCTCGAGGTCACATTACCAAATACTATGTTAAGGTAGATGGCAAAGTACGCTACCAAGCGGGAGATGGCAAGGAAGTCGTCGGTCCTCATCATCCTTCCGGAATAGACTCTTGTTCGAACTACGATGGCGATGAAGACAACTTCATTGACCCTCAGAACTTCCACAACTTCTTCGCCTGCAAGTACGGTCCTCTGAAGCCGAACAGAAACTACTCGGCTACAATTTGGGCCGAAAACAAAGCAGGAAAGTCAGAAGCTGTCACCTTCCACGAACAATGTGTCATGGACTATGCTGAGCCCGAGTTCATAAGGCCTCCAGAAACCTTGTCACGGACCAACACTTCATCGTTCGGCCTCGAATTCCCTCAAGCTCCAGACGAAACAAACGGCCCAATCGCTTGCTATTACCTTGCTATTGTCCCGCTACAATCTAATATCTCAGTAGATGCCCTCCCACCTCCAGAACAGATCGTAATGGACACGTACGACAAGGTTCTTCAGAACAACATCCACACAGCCTACCATCCCAACAACAGATTCTTTGCCTACATCGCCGAAAGCTATATGCAATACCCAAAACAGACGGTCGTGGGTGATGGAGACACGAGAGGAGGAGTTGATCCATGCAATGTGTTATACTTGACCAGGTATCAGCCCAACGACGCTGCTCTGGCTCCCGATCTAAAGTACACTGGCTTCATGATCGTTAGAGTCGACAGAGACAACAACCTGCAGAAAGCTGTGGACACAGAAGATAGTCGAAGATATCGACCAATTATGAGCAGCATTTCACCAGCTGATCTGTTAATCACGGCTCCATTGAACGGTCAGAGGCCACGGAACGGCTACAGGAAGAACGACGATATGGGACGGTGGAGAAGACAACTCTCAAGCTCTGATCCAGCCTACGGCTTCAGCGGATACTTTAAACCGGTTATTCTTCAACCACAAAACAGCGCTGGCAATGGCTGGTTCGAATTGACATTGATAATCTTGGCCGTCCTGTTGTTGGTCCTGTTCGCTGTGGTCATCGTTTTGTATATGTTGCATAAGTAAGTTAAAACCATTAAAACATAAAAAGTACCCGGTAAAAAAAATAAACAAATACACTATTAGTCAAAAATACATTATTTTAAATGTTTTGAAAGGTTTTTTGCGCGCTAAATTCAAATTTATCCGAAAAATGCCAATTAAAATCTTTCGTGCCGGGACCCAGAGCATGGCTTTGTTTTTGCCGAAACCAAACTGGTCCTAAAATATCTGGACCAAACCACAATAATAATATTATATTATACTACCCGGGCCGGGCCCAATCATTTTTTAGCCTAATTTTTATTTTTTACTGAAATTTTCATTAAATTAGCGAAATTTTGAGCTATCTTAACTTAAAATGGATAGTGTTTTACTCAAAAAGTAAGTCAACTTTCTTGTTTCTAATATCTTGACCTCGAGGCATTCTATTTTACGTTGGTCTTGACACGAAATTATCCAGAAGCGCTCTCGATTTCAAAAGTTTCAACGAAAAAATAAGTTTGAAAATTGATTTTTTATGAAAAAACTAAAATTTTTAAGCTTATCTTCTTTTAGGCGAGGAATAATCAAAGCCTTTTGTCCTGCCATCAAGAAGGAACATCAAAGGATTCGTAATGTGTTCAATCCGATCCCAGTCGACGATTTGGCCACGGAATACATGATCAAACACAAAGACAGCGACTTTCTGTTCAACGCCGAGTTTGAAGCTCTACCTCGGGCCAAGAATCTGCCTCATACGGCTAGCGAGAAGCAGGAGAACAAGAGCAAGAACCGTTATAATGATATCAAGGCGTGTGACATTACTAGAGTCAAGTTGAGTCAGATCAATGAAATACCTGGGTCGGATTATGTGAATGGCAACTTTGTTAAGGTAAGTGGGTTTTTAGGTAACAAATGTTGAGTTTTTGGTTGTTTTAGGTATTATAATTCTTTATGAAAGAGTTTTGGAATTTATTTTGTCAAAGTTTAACTAAGATTTGTTACCTAAAATAATATTTTTTAAATTTTTAGGGATACAACGATCGGAAAACGTTTATCGCTACCCAAGGGCCATTGGAAAACACCGTAACGGACTTTTGGAGAATGATATACGAACACAATTGTCGTATAATCATAATGGTCACCAATTTACGTGAACGCGGCCGAGAACAATGTGCCAAGTATTGGCCGGACGATGATAGTGATGAGCCGTTGTTGGTGGGGAATATGTATGAAGTTCATACCCTGGATACGAATCTTTACGCTGATTACACGATGAGGGAGCTCAGGTTACAGCCTCTACCTCCATCTTCACCAACAATCCATCATTCCAAAAGTTTCTCTAGGGACGGACCTTCGAGTCCATTGTTGGATTCTTCTTATTCTAGAGGTTCAATTAACTTGGATTCATCTCAGTAAGTTGAATAAGTTAACTGGTTTTGTAGTTTTGATGGTTTCCTTGAACGTTTTGTTAGAGTTTACTCATTTTCAGCACCAAAATGGGTATTTAGGGAATATTTTTGTTGATTTTGTTAGGTTTTGATGTTATTTTATAGGAAATTAGTGTCTTTAACGAAATATAAATAAACTGAATCAATTTTCATACCCAATTTTACAGAAGAACGCCGTCCCGCTTGGCAAACAGGTCCGATTCAATGTCTTCGCCTTCTCCGAAGCCAGATGCCGACTATGCCAACCTTCCTCGCCGACCAGGATCTACGAACTCGAACAGAAGTAGCCAAAGACATGCTCCAACTGAGCCAATGAAAGTTCTCCAGTTTCATTTTACAGCCTGGTCTGATTACAAAGCTCCTGAATGCACTGTCAGCCTTCTTCGTCTGATGTACAAGTTGAGGAAGATGGACGAATACAATCGATATCCAGTTGTTGTTCATTGCTCAGCTGGAGTGGGAAGAACGGGAACCTTTATTGCAATTGACTATATAATGGATCAATGTAAGGCCGAAGGGAAGGCTGACATTTTTGGGTGTATATCCAAGCTTCGAATGCAGAGAAACTTGATGGTGCAGTCGTTGGAGCAGTACGTGTTCATCTACAAGGCTTTGGCTGAATATCAGTTGTATGGGATTAGTGACGAGCATGTGGACGACTTCTTGACTCACTATCAGAAGTTGAGAAGTCCGGTCAACAAGAGAGAACGACATTTGTCGATGACTGAACAGAAGATTAATGATGAGGGAAAGAGTAATGGAGTGGTATCTTCTCAGAACGGTACTACTTATGTCAGAATCGATCCGAAAGGCAATGAAAAGACGGTTTATTTTGAGAGGAACAAGGCTAATGGACAGAATGGTGTCGGAGCTTTGTTTAATCAGAAGTTTAAACAGTTAAGGTAGGTGTTGAGGGGTTCTTTTGGGCTTTTGATGGATATTTTATGGTTTTTAGGTGATTTGTAGTGATTTTTTGTTTGTTTAAAGTTAGTTTACATATAATTTTAGCCTTTAAACTTGTAAAACAAGTCTTTAAGATCTGTTTTTAAAGAGGAAAAGCTAAAATTAGGTATAACAAACATATTAGCTTTATATACTTGATGCTCTTTTCAGAAGTGGCTCAATGGCTGTGGTAGACAACTCGAAGCCTTCCTTACTAGACGAAGAATACACACGGCTTCAACAGAACATCGAGAAGCCTCGCAGCACTCAATGGGCTCACAAAAGCGAACATTCCGGAAGGAATCGCTTCGACGATGCGGTACCATACGACAGCAACCGAGTTATACTGGCACCATTGTTGGAATATCCGAATACCTACATTAATGCATCGAATGTTAAGGGATACTTTTATCCATTCGTCTTGGCACAAGATCCAATGGGACCGGAAACGGCTTTCGACTTCTGGAGAATGGTCAACGATCAGAATAGCTGCACTATTGTCATGTTGAGTCCGGATGAGAGCTTCACACCCAAAGAGAAGGTGAGAATGGTTGATTGAGGCGGATCTTGGTTTTTAAAGGGTGTTTTTTTATCAGGTTGCTACGGTTTTGGCTATATATAATAGAAAAAAGGCTATTTTTTGATCTGATCTTTAAAAAAATGTAATTTGGAGTGAACTTTTTGTACCTATTCTTTACAGTAATAAAAGGATCGTATTTTACCTTCTTCTTTCAGTATTGGCCATTCAGCCCATTAACGACCGAATACCTTGGCTTGAAACAAGAATTGGTATTGCAGTTGAGAAGTGAAATCAAATATACCAACTACATCGAAAGGAAATTAAGTTATCTTTTCAAGGTAAGTTATTCAATGTATATATTGTAATACATGAAGATTACTAGGTTCTTACGCTGGTTTAGGAGGAGTAACTTGCTCAAAATGACAGTTTTTGGGCCTTTCATTGTGAATTTTAAGTTGATATAGTAAATAAATTAAAGCAAAGTGAAAAACTTGAATTTTTTTTGAGATTGTAGGTTATTTTTGATCGATTTCGATTGAAATTAAAGTATATTTTTCATGTTTTAAATTGTAAATCGACCTTATATTACAAAAACTTTCAGTCCGACCGTCAAAACTCGATGGGCCGCGAAGTAACTCAGTTTGCATATCGTCATTGGCCGTTAGGAGCTCCAACACCAAGCGACACTGCCAGTTTCCTCGATCTGATCGCTTCTGTTTTGGAACATCAGAGCAGTTTCTCCGACCCCGGACCGATTATCTTACATTGTCGAGATGGATCGTATGAAAGTGGAGTGTTCTGTGCCATCAGTCTGCTGTTGGAACGTTTGAGGGCCGAAAAGATGGTCGATGTCTTCCAGACGGTCAAAACGCTACAGAATCAACGGCCAAAGATGCTTACGAGAATGGTAAGGGTTGTGGGATTTTGGGATAATAAGGGTGTTGTAGTAGGTGATATTAGTAAATGAGTTCTTTGAGGGATTGAATGTGGTGTAACTAAATAAGGAGGTCAGGGATGTCGCTACGATTTTTTTCTGGGGGGTGGAAACCCAAAAAAATTTTTGGTCCACAGGTAGCTGCTACCTGTGGACCGATTTTTCGAAATTTTTTTTTCGTTTTTCCACGTACAGGTACTTGTAAATTTTTTTTCGGATCTGCTTTGGGGAGGGGGGGGGGAGTCACCCCGAACCCCCAAACGTCCCTGAAGGAGGTTCATACTGAAAAGGTTTTATTGTATTTCAAAAGATTACTGTAAAATAAATTTAGATGTACTGTATTTCAGGAACAGTACTCTTTCTGCTACGACTGTGTGGCCGACTATCTGGAAACGGCTTATCACTGAAAGCACAACTTTCTTAGTTATTACTCTGATACTTATCAACTGTTTTTCTCAACATTGTATTTCCTATCAACTATTGAGTACTGCGCTGCTTACCTACTGATTTTCTTGAGCACTGTACGACTACGGATTACCTTTTCTTGGATGTTGTACCTATCAGCCGGACGTTGTGCTACCTATCAGCTTGCATTGAATGTAGCTCAACCCACCATCTTTATTTGGATGTTGTACTACGTATCAGTTTGCTCTGGACGTACCTACTACCCATCAACTGACGTTTCCCAATATTGTACTACCCATGAACAGCCGTGTTCAACTATTCTACTACTTATCACACGTTCTTACCGCCTCAACTCAACATTGATCTCAGTTTTGGAATTGCGAGTATCCCGATATTTTTTTCGAAAACCCCCCACCTTACTCATTAATATTTGAGCCATAATCAAAGGCTACGTCTTTCTTTATTATAGCAAAATATTTTTATATTAATACGATGTTTGTGTACAAAGTTGTATGTAATTATATGAAAAAATAATAAAAATTATATAATAAAATGTGATTTGGGTCTATTGGTTTTGTAATAGAATATTGTAGTAGAGAACTATTCATATTGTGGTAACTTACCGTACTTCGAGGATTATCTATTGCATTAGCTAATGTACTGGCTAGTGTAATAGGTATATACGATGGATCTATTGTAATAATTGGTTGTTCATGTAATTATGTGCCTCTAACTCTGAAAGTATGCTTTGGAAGGGAGCACAGAATTAGCTGAACAATCGAATAGTTCTCATACTTGACAGTATGATGTGCTATGGGAAAGCATGACAGTATGTACTATGGCAAAGAACAGTGTCTTAGCTTTGAAATAAAGTAAAATTGCTAATAATACTAATGTGCTATGAGTAATGTAAACCAAAATTACTAATAGATACAACGCGTTATAGGTAATGTAAACTAAAACATGTAGTTGGCTTAATAATTCTAAATTAATTTAATATTCTTTTCCTTTTTGGCTGTGCCAGTTCCAAGTAAACGAGACATAATATAACAGTTTTTTTTTGTTTGGATAACCAACTTTTTGGCGTTTACTTGATAAGGACATGTTTTATATTATCATAAGTGTGAATCTTGTAGGAATTATTATGATATCATGGTCATTGTGGTACCTTGAGAGTACTTTTCATCATATTACACTCTCTAGAGCTTATTGTATTTAAATTATGTCATTTTGGTCAGAAATTTGGTAGAGATTTTTTAATTTTTGTTTTAAATTGCTAAATTTAGGTCCAAAAGTCAATGGAATTCCCTATTTTTGCCTATGATAATATTTATTTGTTATTTCAAACAGTAGCAGATTGAAACGTGGGGTTTAGAGATCAAATTTAAAAGTTTACGAAAATCGTCGGCTTAGTATAATACCTTGAACAAACTTTGAAGTATCAGAAATATTATCCACGCGAGCAGTCCAACACAAACTACGGCTTTTACTGGGAATCTCAAAGTGATTTTGTCGATTTTTTTAATTTGGAAAGTGCTGTAACGTGGATTTTTTAAAAAATTAAATTGTTTAGGCTTATTTTTATTTGTTTTCTGTCTTAATTTCAGTGTAAATGCTTATGTTTGTTACCTAATCGTTTCTAAAATGGTATTCTTATCAGTTTTCAAAATTTAAGATAATATTGCCGTTTGTTACCTAAATATAATCAAAGAAATCATATTTGGTAAATCTGGCAATATCAACCTTTGTTATCTAAACTTAAGTAAAATAATATTTTGTTGTTTTTGAAAAGTTTCCAACGTTTATATTGTCATTTGTTACCTAAATCACATTAAAGAACTCATATTTGTTACCTAATTTCAAAAATATCCTATTGTTTTACATGATTATACCTAAAAATCGCAATAAACCAAAAGATCAGCCCTTAAAACCTTGGGGTAGACATAAAAAATTGGTGGATTTTCTAAATTCTGATAGGCCTGTGACGATTTTGTGAATAAAAAATTTGAGGTTAAGAAAAGACAAGGCAAAGACGAGAGAGTGCCAGAGAAAGAATGGAACGCGCATCTCGGATTACAACGTTGAACTCGAGAGAATAGTAAAGGTGTTACTTTTTACAAGAATTAGTTACAGCTTTCGCTTAATTTCAAAAATTTTTGAGATTATTTTGATTTGGGCGGGGGTTTTAGATGTTGTAGATGATGTTATGGTAGTGTGTTCTGTGTTCTGCGAGTTTTGTATTAAAGTAGAGATAGCGGTAGTTGTGAGTGATACATTAAGCTGTACTATTGTCTATGCGATTTTTATTATTAAGTTGTTTAAATAATTCTGTGCCCCTTAACCACTAAAATTTGCTTCGAGAAGGGCGCAGGATTATTTGAATAAACTAATATTTTTCTTTGTTAATTTTGTCTAAAAATAGCTTATTTTTCAGCATAATCACAATAAACCCATCACCAACTGTCCCACGACGTTCATCTTGCCATTGCTCATAAATCGACCGTTTATCGGTCGAATATCCACATCATATCGCATCCTACTTCGCCATGTATGACACTGAAAGCATGAAGGAAGGGACTTCAACCATCAAGTCCAGACTATGCTCCAGGAACTACACGGTAATGTTAATTTCCTTTTGAAATAACATCAATCATCTCTAAGACAACCTTAATTAAGTACACAGACAAGTTGAGCTTTGAATTCGTGACGTACTTGACAGCACATGATTAATGGGGTTTTCCGAGTTTGAGCATGACAATAGGCAGGGCTAATCTTGGAACTGAGAGGCGTATTTGAGATGGGCATGGGCTTTTGTTGTGGGCATGGCAATTAGTGTTATTTTTGTAAGGAAATTTTAGTGGTTTTTCAATTGAAAAATATTAAAAGAAAGAAATAAAAGCTGAATTTGTAATTGCTACACGTGCTTTTATAGGAATTATAAATTTATACTTATAAAAGGCAAAATAAAAATTCAGTATGTAAATTTTACATACAACAAACATTTATTTAGTACAGCCATTAAGCCCGGCCTCAGTCTAGCTCTGAAACGGAAGGTTAGCCCGGCTTATTCCGGGGACGGTCTAGGCGGGCTAAAGAAAATTTACACGGGGTCAAGCCGACAAATGGGAGCCAGAGGGCCGGGTTTGAAACCAACGCTTTTGCTTAGGTCCTGCAACGAAAGTTTGGCTTGCGAAAAGTATTTTTGGCTTAAAATTGACAGTTAGACACTTATTAGCACAACATTAAAAATGATTTTTCATAGATAGAGCCTTTGATTTGGACAAAAAAGTTTTTTTAATTGTTTTTTGATACTTAATTTGTCCTTACTATAGCTATTACTATATGTGCTTTTTTGGCGATTCCTTATGCAGGAATCTCACTGTGGCTGTTTTACTTTTTTTAATGGCGCCATGAACTTTTTGTGAAAAATACAGTAAAACCTCCTCGGTATAACCCTCAAAGGCCTAATCGAACTTGTTTTTTTGATCAGGGTGTTACAATATCCAGGTAATTTTTGATCGGAGTCATATTACAAAGGGTGGTCAGGAAGCTGTCATTATATAGAGGGTGGCATACTATGGAGGGTCATACTGAAAAAGTTTTACAATGGATTTGTTTAACGAGAAGTCAGCTTTGTTTAGATAAGTTTACAAAGAAACTTTACAATGAAAAACTTACTATGATCAACATATCATACCTATTCTTATTACTTATAAATAACTTATAACAAAAACATACTGTATTATCTTTTTTGTTTTGTTCTATAAAATTTGCTGATTAATAATTTAGAAATCTGACAAATCACAATACAAACATGTTGTTGTAAACATACATATAGCAGGGTACATTGGGTGTAACAAGACCTTGTAACCGGAATAATCTTTCTAATTACGAATTTTTAATTGTTTATTTACTTTTAATGTTTAGTCAACCTAATCTAACAGATGAGCTTTTAGCCGACTAGACATTTGGGTAATGAGTGTTATCATTTATTAATCAATACTTGTACAAAAATTAATTATTCTGTTTTTTTTAACTTTGCTACTGTAGTTTTAAAAAGAGAGAATTAAAAGAAGGTTCTGCAAAATTCGTATTTTACAAAAAAAGCTTACTTGTGAAGGTTTTGAAATACGTTCTTACAGGCTCAGGTTAGGTATTTAATTTTACAAAGAAAAGTTGCCGTACGTGTCCGGCTCTGATTGACTTGAAACTTTTCATAAAGAAAGACCATGTAAATATAAGGTCTTCAGCAAAATACCAAATTGCATTTTCCAGGCAATCCCAAGAAAATCGAGATCAAAAAATTAAGTTTTGAATTTTCTGGCAAATTGGCATTGTGTTTCAAGCTTATAACTTTGTTATTTTTTGACTTTTAATCTTTTTTTTGATACACTAATAGAAAACCTTTAGATAAACTTACATTTTTTAATTTGTGTGTGAATTTTGTCTGGAAAGGCAAAAGAAGTGCTTGAAACACAATGCCAAATTTGCCAATTGGCAGAAGTTTCGAATATTTAAATTTTAAAACAAAAGCCAGAAAAAAATTTTTTAAGGGTACTATTGGTCGTACAAAAAATTCATCTAAAAATTTGGAGCTGATTCAGAGTTGGGCAGGTTGGATACTTTCCTTGTTATAAGAATACAGTGGAACTCCTGTATAACGAGTTGGTTGGGGATTCAAAATTTGTGCGTTATGAAGGAGTTTTGGTATATAAAAGTTTTAAATGCATTCTGTATTGTTAGCCGGGGATTTTAAAATCGTTCGTTTTACTGAACTTTTGTTATAGAGGAGTTTGTTATACATAAGTCTGAGTTACACTGTAGTAAGGTGTTCAAGCTACGTTTGTAAATTGGCTAGCTAGTCTCAATTTTTTTATTTTTGATTGGCCTCGTTCAACTTTGCTTTGACCGAGCCGGACTAGTGGGCTTCCTTCCAGCTATAGTTCGAGGGATGATAATTAAAAAAAAATTCTTTGAAAAAGTCAAATAATTTTAACACAATACTTTTCTCAGAAGTAAAAACTGTATTGTAAGACGTCGAGGTAAACGTATTTGTATCAGATATCTGTTGTTAACCTTTAAATACTTGAAAAGTGACATTTCTTGTGACGTAGTAACGAGGAATGTCAGCTGTTTTTGCGGCATTCTCTTGTTATTGTTGGTAACATTCGTTAGCTCTCTACTGTTTTTATGGGTAAATCGTATCTAAAATGTGTTACAATATCAAGTTATGACCCATTTATTACCTAAAATATGATTTGATTACAAATTTAATGTTTGAAAAGTTGAAAAACTCTAAAATAAGAAGAATACTGTAACATTATAACCACATTTCAGCCATCCTCCTCTCTGCCACACCTATTAATGTCATCTCCGCCCTCGCCGACCTCACGGATGTCGAGCGAGGATGAAGAGAAATGGGCGGAGAGCAATCGACATTCGAGTCAGCCAGATTTCCGAACACACAAATTGCCCTCCGGTCTTCTGGAGACTACCGACGACGACATGTTAACACAGGCGCCCAGGGTAAGCTTACTTTTTGACTTTGGTATGACAATATATTGGCTTTGTCATACTTGGTATGTCAGTTTATGGTGGTTAAGGCAATTTTCTGTGCTTTCTTGGCTTTTAAATTGATTCTACTGTGCTTTCAAGGATAGGTCAGATTACTTTTCTACTTCTATATGACAATATATTGGCTTTTTCATACTTAGTAAGCCAGTTTACTGTGCTTTGAGAGTAGGTCAGCTTACTTTTGTTACAAAGTGTAATCTTGGTATACTGTAATTTTTTGAGAACTTATTTACTTAGTATTATTGAGATTTGACGAACACTTCAAGTTTTAAGTTGGAAGGATTACACACATCAAAATGTTAAAGACTTACTTTGTTAGAATATGACAGAGTAGGTTATAGTGGACTATTTTGTCAAGACTAGAAGTCAGTAGCACGTTTCAGTTTACTGTAGGTTTTAGAAGCGAACTTGGGGTTATTGCAGGTTAGAGTAGCCTATTATGGGTTAAGCAAGTCAACAGTAGCTGGTTATAGGTTACTGTAGGTTTTAAAACCATGTTTGGGTTACTTTCAATTTTAATTACAAGCCTAAATTTTAAGGGTTTATACGCTTGATGCTTTATAATGTCTTTAATATATTTATAGCCGCATTAAAATCAGTTTATATCTTTAAAGTCTTCTAAAGAGGGTATATTTTTCTTTTTTTTTATCTTTACCGACAACAATCTTAATCTTCAATCTATAGTACTAAACTTTGGGCCTTATAAGGTTTTTTTTACTAAGTTACAGTACGGATAAGTACAAAGGAAAGACAGTAGTTTTATCTAGTTCCTTGCGTGCCAAAGTTTGGAACCAACTCAAACTCACGCTAGGCTATTTTGTTGTTTTTTCCGGATTTTTCTTAAATTTTTAATAAAAAACTTTGCGGAATTAATTTTTAAATGTCTGTCAATTTTTTGACGATTTTTGACGAGAAAATTAAAATTTTTTATTTTTGAACTAATCTTTGTTCGGCTAATTTTTTAGTTTAGAAAGCGTATTTCACAATTTTTCAAGTCTTTAATTATAGTGGGACTTCGGTATAACTCATTGCCTAAAAATTTTTAAAAAATTTAAAAATTGTTTGTTATAGAGGTGTTCGATTTAGAGCGACTTGATATACACGAGTTTCTGTATCTAAAAGGCTTAAAATGTCAACGCATATATTACAGCGGAACCTTTATATAAGGAAACTCTGCATAAGTAACCTCTCTATAACAAAAACTTCGTATAACGAACAACTTTTGAATCCCTGGCTAACACTACACAGTGCATTTAGAACCTCTGTATAACAAAACTTCTTTATAACGAACAACTTTTGGATTTCCTGGCGATTTGTTACAGAGGTTTTACTGTACAGTGGAATTCCTGTATAACGAATCGCTCGGGAATTTGAAATTTGTTCGTTATAAAGGAGTTTCATTATACAGGAGTTTTAAATTCACTGTGTAGTGGTAGCCGGGTATTTAAAAGTTGTTCGTTATACGGGAGTTTCGTTATAGAGGAGTTTGTTATACAGGAGTTCCACTGTATATTATGCTGCCATATCTTTATTTTTAAACTTTGATTACATTATGAGTATCAAAATAAATTACTTTTTCATTTTTTTAAAAAATAAACAAAGTTGTGAAGCTAACCTATATGGCTTTTGGCATTTGGTAATTCATAAAAGTTATATGCGCTTGCTCTTAAGTACATTCGAAAGAATGTTGTTTTTTGTTTTATGAGACATACATGTTTAACATGTTTAAGAACATATATTTTTTTGGCATGATACGTCGTTAATATTCATGTTGAAAGGGGTGGAGATATCTTGAAAAACTAAAATTTGCTAAAGTAGGGCAAGCCTTATATGGCAGAGCTGGTAACAATAGAGGGTGGTTGAATTAGGTTTTTGGCTAGAGTAAGGCTAATAGATTTGGCTAGAGGTAGGCTTATAGACAATAAAGGGCGGTTAGTGTACAATTTCCTTAATGCGGGGTATTTTATGTAGGGTAAGGTAAGAAGGCGTTTTTGCTTTTTAAAAATGAACTTTTGCGTTTTTAAAGCTAGCAAAATCCAAAAGTCAAGTCAAATAATTAAGAGGTCGATGTCATTTGTCATAGCCAAATGTCACGACCAGGTTTTGAACTTTTAGAACCTTGGGGCATGCCCAGCACGAGGGAAAAATGATATGTTATGTTAGTGTTATTGCCGCATAACGATCTTGATTGTCATTTTTACGACAATTTCCGGACAAATCTTGCTTTAAATTTGTTATTACTGTGCCTTTTGGTACCATATGGTACAGTAGGGACGTTTTTTAATTATTTTAGGCTCTTAGTTATTGTAGGGTAAGGTAGAGAAAGGTAAGGTAGAGTAAAGTAGGTTTGGGTATGGCAAGGCAGAAAAAAAGGCAAGGCAAGGCAAAAAAAACTTTTAGTTTATTGTTATTGCTCATTATATTTGTCTGCTATGCTTAAAATATCATACAAAAAGATATGCTTTATCTATATACTTTTACGGCCTAAGGTTTAACGCCCTTTTACAGCCTAAGGTTAAGTTATGCGGAATATTTGAATCGTCGGAATAATGAAAACAAGGAATTATGATGAGGTTTTTACTGTTTTATGACTTGAATATTTATATGACAATTGAATATTCAGCTCTATATTATGAATCTGTTTTATGGCCATGAATAAAATGGCATTTTGTTCTTTATTACAGGAACGAACTGTCAAAATTTTGTTTTTAAGATTTCTTAATGTTAAAAAAAATGGTAGATTCGTATTTTACATTTTGCTATGCATTTTTTCATTTTGATAATTTTTTTTGAATGTAAATTTTGCAAAATTAAAAAAAAACAACCAGATGTTAAAATTTTTAAAATACTTGGCCAAAACTAATCGGAAGGAACGTCGATTTTTCAAAATAATTTTGAATTTCGAACTAGCGGATTAAAGCTGACACTACTTTTTACAAGTTTCTTGTCAAGAACGTTAAGCGTAATTCATAGGCTCTTTGGCCATAACTTATATCCAGTTTATCTGGATAAGCTGTTAAGATTGAATGGTTTTGCTTGGGGTCTTATGACCATAATCACTTTTTTAAATGTCTGGTATAACAAACTTTTGGAAGGGAACGTCGACCTTTTGGTTTTTAGTTATATTATGGGGTTTTAGACGTTCACTTAAAGTTATAATATGATTCGTATTTTAGTAAATATATAGAACGGAGGAGGCATAAAAGACTAGGCAATCAAGAGTAAGTTTGGGTGGTTTAAGGCAGGGTACGGTACTGTAGGATAAAGTATTGTAGTTCATAGTATAAAGTAAAGTAGGAAAGAGTAGGATAAGACAAAGTAGATTAAGGTAAGTCACAGTAGTGAAAGATAGAGTAGGATAGGATAGGGTAGGGAAAGATAAAGTAGGGTAGGGTAGGGTAAAGAAGGGTAGGGTAGGGTAGACTATACTAGGATACTGTAACTTAACTCTATTCAATCTACAATGTTTTTTGACCTATTCTCTGCCATTCATAAATTTAAACTCAACTTTGAAAACAAACTTGACGGCGTCGCGGTGATGAATGTGCCGTAATCTGTTAGACCCTAACCACCTGAGGCCGACAGTGTTTTTCGTGTAATTTATAAACGCCCTCAGGCCGATCGCTCGTTTCAGATTGATCATTCGGCCGATTTCAAGGCCCGGAATCTGAAGAGAAACGGGAGCGCCGTCTCGTGGCAGGTTTGTTTTCTCGAGTGTTTTAATGACACATTTTATGACTTTTCCTATTTTTGACGAATTTTACGTGTTTTTAACGAACCGCCTCTTGTTTCAGGCCTCAGGGTTTGAAATGGCCAACTTTTGTTTCGTTTAACGATCTTTGGTGTTGTATGTTGTTTTAGGTTGGAGTGATGACTTTACTTGGTTTCAATTTTTGTGATTTTTATTTTGTGGATGCCAGGGTTGGGGAGGGGAGAGAAGATGGAGGGAGGAGTAGAGATAATTTTTTTTAAAATTAGTGTTAGGCAAATCTTATAATTAAAAAACTTTTTTTTGATTTTTTTATTACAAAGGCTACATGAGCAGATCTGGGAAAAGGCCGGGCATGCGTGTTAGGTACGGCTCGAACTAAATTTTGTCCAGTCCTGGCGCGGTTCGGCCCGAACTTTTTTACATGGAAACTGGCGGGGCTTTTCTAGACCTTTGATGTTTAGTATGTTTAGCCCCGGACCGTTCCTTATGCCTACACATGAAAAGGAGCAAGTTTAACATCTTGATTTTTTTGTTGCGGCTGATAACATTAAAAAATGACTTACATGAAAACCTTTTTAATCTTTGTTACTCTTTATAATGACAGGTTCTTGACCGCCCTTTGTAACTGAACTTCTATCAGAAAGTACCTAGGTTATGTAACATCCTGGTTATAGGGACACGTTCGGACCAGTCTCTTAAGTGTCACACTAAAAAGGTTTGACTGTAGATGTTTTGGTTTTGTAAAGGCCGCAATCTTTTTTTATTATAATTACTTTCCAATAACCAATCATGATGATAATGATATCTGTAATACTAAGGAAGTAAAGCTTAAGACCCTTCTTAACAAGCTTAACAACTATTTTAGTACAAAAGTGATGTGTTTCCGGTTTAATCCTACAAACTTTTCAAAGTTTTTTAAATGTTTCAATGTGAATAGTATTTGTACATCTATTTGTGTATTAGCTGAACATCTATTGAAATGTTAGTGGATTAGGTATGGTAATATTGACAGAGATCTCATTAATTCACTGAATTTTCTGTAAAATCTCATTAATTTACTAAATTGTTGTAAAATCTCATTAATTCAGTATAGTTTCTTAATACGGTTATTGATGTTTCTAATGACTTTCTAATGGCAACAAATTATCAGAAGATACTACGGTTGTTACAGTATTGTATTAATATGCATGAGGATGTCCGAAGAGTATCTGAGTTTACTTATGTGGTAAGAATGATGTTTTATACTTTAAATTTGTGCTTTTTAGTTGAAGGGGTAGATTTTTGAAAGGGAAAGTCGATTGTTGAATGTTTTGCTCGTAGAGTAGGGTACATAAAAAAATTTTAATGATAAAAGAAACTTATTTTTTAATTTTTGAATAATTTCATTACATATTACACTATGTTCCACAAGATTAAAAACCAAAACAAACCTTCTCACGGTTTATTTCGAGTGTTATTTAGCCATTTTGTTATTAGTACCGCTTTCTTCATGAAAATTTGTTTTGACATTTGATACGATTATTACTTCTTTCAAGTTTAAAAATATTATTTTTAGCCTTCATTACTTGACCAGCGTGTTTGAGGGCTTAAAATTTTGGATTTTAAGATTTTTCAAAAATTTTTTTGACTTTAGTTATTAATTTGGTTGTTCAAATACTTCTGTGCCTCTTCACAAAGCACGTGTTTGTAGTTAAGGGCACAGAATTTTTTGAACAAACTAATACTTTGAGACTTTGATGTTGGGTTAGACGTTTGTTATAAGCGAATTCAAGACAGGTATTACTTACAAAGGCCTTGCTTTCGAGCTAGGCCGGGAACTACTTCTGCAACAAAAAACTCGTATAATGAACAACTTTAAAATCTGTAGTTAACACTACAGAACAAATTTAAAGCCTCTGTTTACCAAAGCTCTTTTATAACGACCAAAGTAAAAATCTCTGATAGATTTGTTATACAGGAATTCCAGTGTAGTTTACCTTGCCTTTCTTTTCAATTTTTAAAATTTTTTTTGTTTTCTTCTGTGTTGACTATAGCGAGGGCTTTCTTTAGTAATGGTTTTACTTTAAATATTGCTTTTTCTCAGCTTGTTTAAATAATTCTGTGTCCTCTTATCTTACAAATTTTCTTTGAGAGGACGCACAGAATTATTTGAACAAATTAATATTTTAGTTTAGAAAGTTTGCTGTTATGTTTTGTATGTTTATTTATTTTTTTTCATTTTATGTTAATTTTTATCACTTGTGTTGCTTTACCTAATTATAAGTTTGCCTTTTCTCACCTACTCAACCACATACAAGGTTTCCCTCCACTAATTTAGCCCTTTTTCCAAATTATTGTTATTTTTGTTTACTTATCTTAAAATCCACCGTTTGTGTTCGAATCCGCTTCTTTTTTCTTTTATTTTTGCATATTTTAACGCCCCGCCCACTTTCAGCCGTCTTCCATAACTTCGGAAGAGCTGCGCCTAATTAACTCTCCGCCGACGCTGACGCCCGGCTCCATGGCCGATCCGAACGAGCTGATTTGTCTGAACGTGGGCGGCCAATCGTTCAGATGTCGCGTCGCTACGCTCAGAGCCAAGTGTCCTGACGCAAAGTTGGGATTGTTTGTAGGTCAAAGTCATGAGAACAGACTGAGGCTTTGCGATGGATATTTTACTGTGAGTTTTGGTTGGGGTGGTATAGTAATGTAGTTTAGTAAGGTGATATATAGAGGTAGTGTAGCAAACTAGTAAGATATAGCTTGTCTAGTTTCTTTTTCTAATTGCAAATCTTGTTTTCAGAGCTTGCAAAGGTGTATACTTAATGAGTTTACTTAAAAACGTAGGGTTTTTTATGTGGGAAATGAATACGTTACCTAAATTTTAATATTTCCTGTTTCAGCAAAAAAAATTTGTTAGAAAAATGAAACAAGTAAAATTTTTTAAGTATTAACTCCACAGAAAAAGAAAACAGAGTACTGAAGTAAGCCGGGGCGTCGCTACGGATTTTTTCTGTGGGGGGGGGGTGGATCTACCCCCCTTCCCCCCCCTAGCGACGCCCCTGGAAGTAAGTACTAAAAGGATCCTTACCTTATGAAGAGAGGGGTACCTGAAAAAAAGGAGGTATTTTTTAAAAAAGGAGGGGAATCTTAATAATAAGAGGGAGCATCTTTCAAAAACGAGATATTACTTTTAAAATAGAAGGGGTACCTTAAATCTTCACGGAGGGAATTTTTAATAGAGGAGGGGTGCTTTAAAAAAAAGGAGATATAACTCATGAAAAAGAGGGGGGTATCACTATCTATTTTCATTATCTTGGTTTCAATAGCACTAAAAAAACCTTTTAAGCCTAGAAATCATAATCTATTTTGTTATTGAAAATTTATTTATTTGCTTATTTATACACTTTGAATAGAAACATTCCAAAAATGATTTCCAATGTTTTATTATTAGAATCCCTCGAATATTTATAAATTTCATAGAAATAACATGACGTTTTAAATGTTCATGACACATACTAACATAGACAGAGCTAAGTATTCAGAACTTGTTTACAGATAAACAAAATTTTAATTTTTCAGCTATTTTTAATGGAGATAAGGATTAATTTTTTATTTTTAAAGTCTATGTTTTTTAAAAATTAAAAAAAAAAATATTTTTTGAAAAAAAAATTTTAAAAAAAGTAACGTTTTGCAAAATACATCTCTTGCTATCTTGGCAAAACTTTTTGCTTTTTAGGCAACAAACGAGTACTTCTTCGAAAGGCCAGGAAAACTGTTTGAAAGCATATACACCTACTATGTCACAAGCGAACTGCACAGGTAAGTAGAGGTATGAGCGAGAGGGTTTGTTTTTTTTTGTACAAAAAGGTAAAATACGGGGCTTAAAAAAAAAGAGGATGATTGACCTTGTGGCTAGGTTTTCAGAGTAAACGCGATTTTAACTTTTTGATTAAGCTTTGCTAACCATTAGCGTCAGGAGGTATAGTTTTTAAATTTTTTGTGTTTCAGACCATCAGACATATGTGAAAGCGAGTTTCTAGCTGAACTACACTTCTGGCGAGTATCCGAATCCAAAGTTGCACCTTGTTGTTGGCCTAAGTATGATCCAATGTAAGTTGTAACATGATTTTAATTTTTTGCGGCTAGCTTTAAAAATTTAAAATCTATGTTATTAAAGGTATTTTAAAGCATTTTTGCGACTCGTGCAGAGCTGGTACTTTGATTATTAGGTTGCACAAAAAGTAATGAGCTACGTCTTTTAAATAGTTGATATGAAGTCCAATGGCTCATTAATTTTTATACAACATAATAGTAATAAGTAGGAGAGGCAAAATGATTTTTAGGTGGAAGAGAGGGAGGGGTAAATTTTAAAAAAATAGTTTACAAGTATATTGGTGAACTGTATGCAACATATGGACTATTAACTCATGTTTCATATGTTGCTTCAAAAAACAAAAATATTTGATTATATTGTACATGTTTGCGTAGCATTCTATTTGCTCAGGTTTTTAGACAAAAATTGATTCAAAAAATTACAAAGTAGTTTGAATTAGGTCATATGGGCATCCACTATCCCCTCCCCCACTCAAAGCTTTCTTTTTTTGGCTCTTATCTACCCCTTTTGTTAATTAATCTTTCTACCCTGCCTTCTTTTGCTCTCTCTTTTTCTCTCTCTCTCTTTCGTTCCCTCTCTCTTTTTTTCATTCTCTCTCTCTTGTCTGTTGACTAATATGAACTTTATTTAAATTACAGTACGTACAAAGCATTTACTATATCTCATACTACAATCAAGATACATGTCTACATATTTCAAATTATTGTCTACATCAAAAAAAGTTACAATCACAGCATATCATGCCATTTTTAATTCGACCAGTCAAGCCATTGCCAATATATGTCAGCCAAATCCCTATTACTACACAATTTGACATGTAGACTATGTACACATGTACATGGTAAACAAATTAGTTTTTTTGTTCATAATACGACAATAACAAAAGGACACCAAAGTTGTTACTGAGTAGGCAGACAAATCAATGTGGGAAAGGAAGTTTAAAAGGCATGGTACATAACATATGCAAGTATAATATTCTACTCGGTAGTTCGAGTGGAATCTTTGAACTTTGAAAAAGCTGTGGAGTAGGTGTTGTATATAAATGTACGTGATGGATTATTGAGATGTTAAAGTGCAGTAAATGCAAAAGAAAATTGAAAAAATTATTTTGAAGAGACGTTGAAAACAAAGATAAAATTTATTGTAATGTACATATTAATTTATAAGAAAAGTATCCGACCTGTAAAGATTTATAATACCAACTCTGAAAATTACTTTAAAATTCTTTTTTATTTCAGTGACGAATCAGTGGACGACCTGTTAGCTCGAAAGCGAAGTCCAGATGAGAGTATTCGTCAAAGGTTACACCGTTTCTGTGAAGGAGATGGCACGATGGTTTCAACGTTATTTACGTTTGCCAGTATTTGCTTCGTGCTTGTGTCGGTACTGGGATTGGTACTGGGTTCGATTGAAGACTTTCAGCATCCGTACGAGAAGGTTGGCAACAAAAGTGTGCTTTATACTGGGACTGTCAGCAAAGGTAAGGGGGTGGGGTAAAATACGTGGTCTTTTTTTCATTTTGAAGTACACATTTTAAGTTAAAAATAAAAAAGTTTTGAAATGTCAAATACGTCGTTTTGCTTATTTAAGACAATACTTTTCAGCCACATCCCCACCGAGTATCACCTGGGAGCCTCATCCTATCTTCACTGCCGTCGAGACAACATGTATCATATGGTTCACGATTGAATACTTTTTGCGATTGATTGTCGCTCCAAATCGACTGGTATTTACGACTGGGCTTTTGAATGTGGTCGATTTGATTGCTATCTTGCCGTTTTACATGGAGCTGTTTTTGAAAATGTGTGGATTTGATGTGGACAGTCTGAGCGATATTAAGGGTATGTTAATATAGGGTATAGTATGGGTGGGGTGGGATAAAAGGGCAGGACAGATATGAGCTGATTAGGGTAAGATAGGGTTATTAGGGCAGGGTAAGGGAAGGGAAAACACGGGCTGGGTATGGTAGAATAGTGTAAAGTATAGTAAGTTAGGGTAGGGTAGAGTAGGGTACAGTATGATAGGGCTGAGCAGGACAGGACAGGGCAAGGCAGGATGAGACAGGGCAAATATAATCTAATAGTTAATACTATATTATTTTAGGTGCTTTCCTAGTAGTACGTATAATGCGAGTACTTCGTGTAGTACGAATCCTCAAGTTGTCTCGCTACAGTACTGGTATGAAGACGTTTGCACTGACGTTGCGAAGCTCAGCACGACAACTGGGTATGATGGGCATGGTACTGTTTACTGGTGTAATCTTCTTCTCCACATTACTGTACTTTGTGGAGAAGGACGAGCCCGGAAGTCCATTTACTTCGATTCCTTCTGCTTTTTGGTGGTAAGTCTTGTACTTTATACTTATATATATGTTAATCATATATATGTGCATTGTAGATATGTGTTAGTATAAATGGCTACAGGCTTTTTTACAGCACTTGTTTTGTACCTATAATACTGTTTTTAAAAAGGTTTTTACTTATAACTAACTTTATATACATTGTTGTTACTGAATTATACATAATATTGTTATAGGGCAATTGTAACCATGTCTACAGTTGGGTATGGTGATCAAATACCAAAAACAATTCTTGGAAAAACAATTGCAAGTGGTGCTATCTTAAGCGGAGTACTCGTACTTGCTTTGCCGTGAGTTTTTTACTTTTTTACTGTGTTTTTTGATCACGACAAGTTATATACGGTCATTTTCTACTTACTTTTACGTCAAAACGTAGAATTTTATGCTTTTAAACTACTTTTGCTAAACTTAATATGACCAGATTCTTATATTACATTGTACAAATAATTTTGAGCCCCTTTTTAAAGCAAATTTTCTTGGTGGATGGGTCAGAATTTTTGGAACAACATAATATTATAGTACCCTCTAAAATAATTTTTTTGACTTTTAATGTTATATTACTATAATAATGCAATTTACAGCATCACAATCATTGTCGACAACTTTATGAAAGTGTCGGGATCAATGCAGAATCGACCTCAAGTTCAAAGACCGTATGTTGACGCGGATACGACCAGTCGTACCAACTCTCCTAGTAACGGAAAACTACAAAAAGACAACGACAGTCTGGCTAGGTTAACTCCAGCCAATGATTGCAATAATATTTCTTAATTTTAACTGTATCTGGTACTAGTTAGTACGGTACTATGAATTTAAGGCAGTACTATTATACTACTTAGTACCTAGTATCAACTTTGATGTCATACTTCTGTTGCTTTGACTACTTTGCTGTACTATTTAGTATGATACTGTTTAGTATCAAATTTGTTGTCATTTTACATTTTTTTACTACCTTATCACACTATTGAGTATGATACTGTAGCGCTACATCTAGTCTATGTGACAAAATATTTACTAGTAAGAGTACTGTGGTACTCATACTGTAAAGCACCATTTTATTTTTCCAATCTGGCCTATGTTATACAATAATGTCACAAAATACGTATATTTTACTGTAGACTTTTGTCTATTTTACTATAGCTCTTACCTTACTATGTACAATTCGTTTTTGTATATGAAGAAATTACAAAATGGAGTTTGTAACTCTACTCTTTTTTACAGCATCATCATGTTATTACTGTTATATCACACTTTTTTTATTTTTATTGAATACTTACGATCTCAATATATAATTACTACTTTAATGTCATGGTAATAAAGTTACATTTTTTAAGCTTGAAGTTTTATTTTACTTTTAAATTTAATGTAGTACCATTATATATAGTAAGTTTTCTTGAGGTTTTGTTGGTACGACGTTAGTACTTGGATACTAGACCAGCAGTGCTGTAAGTAACATTAACATATGTGCATATATATATATATATATATGTATATATATGTTCACAGATACGTTTATAGTAAAAATTCAAGTTTTTGTAATAAAACTTATATGATCCAGACCACTAAAGATCGCATGAGATTGTTTTTGATTAAAAAAACTAACTCCAAAGGGCATGTTTCATAAAAATACCCTGATAAATCGCCGAGAAAACATGAAAAGCGAGAGTAAAAAGCCAGTTTTCAAAGTTTATTTTACCCCCGCAATATTCTAATTATGAAAATATCAATCTCAGAGTTTACTTTACTAAAACTAATTAATTTTTAATTCTTTGCTTGTTTTTGTACAGTAACTTACAAGAAAGTATTCGTCTAGCCCCGCTCTGATTGACTTAAAAGTTCTTATATAAGAAGATCATGTAAATATAAGATCTCCAGTAAAGTACTAAATTGCGATTTCCAAGAAATCTTGAAGAAATTGAGATCAAAAAACTACGTTTTGAATTTCCCGCCAAATTGGCATTGTGTTTCAAGCTTATAACTATCATTTTTTAAATTTTAATTATTTTTCTTTTGTATACTAGTAGAATACCTTTAAATAAACTACTTTTTTAAATTTATTTGTAAGCGTAGCTTGTTTGGAAAGTCGAAAAAAGTGCTTGCAACGCAATGCCAAATTTGTCAAATTGACGAGAAACCCAAATATTTTAAATTTAAAACTTAAAAGCGCCAGCTAAAATTTTTTATGGGTACTATTGGTGGTACAAAGACTCTTTATAAAATTTTTGAGCTGATTCTGAGCGAGGTAGGTAGAGTACTTTCTCTGTTACAGTGGTCTCTCTATATAGTGAACCATCTGTATAAGCAACTCTCCTGATAGTAAACAGAAATTTCGCCTCGCCATGTCAACTTGCACTAAAAAGCCTCTCTGTAAAGACAACACTCTTTATAGTAAACACAAAATGTCGTTGGCACTTTCTTTGTAAGTTAAAAAAGCATAATTTTTATATTGTCTATCATAAGCAACCGTAAAATTAAAAAAAAATAAAAAAAATTTTTTTTTGCAATTATGTATAAGAATTTTTTAAAATAAATTAAAATTTTTTTTGTTTTTTTTTGCTTTTACGGTCTTTATCCTTTGAACAATTTTTTTTTCATTTTCTTTTTGACTTATTTTAAGGATGCCAATATCATCGCAACTTTATCACTACCCCTCCCATTCGCTCCCCCTCCCTCTATTTTACTGCCAATGTCAGACAATTTTATGTCACTTCGCAACACCAACACGTTTTTACATTCTGTTTTACGTTCGGTAGCATTCAACCCGTTTAGTACGTTTACGTAGCCATTAATATAAGTTAACTGCCCATGATCGAACCGGCTTTCGCTGGATGTTTTTGTGCCGTTCCCGTCTGACGTTCGTAGGCGGAACGTTGAAGCGACAACTTAAACTCGTGTTCCGATCCAGTTTACCACTTGTTTCTTAATGTCATAAGCGCGCGAACTTTGGAATTGTAAACGTGAATGATGATGGGCGGATTGATTACTATATATTATATTTTGAAAAATGGTTTTGAGGATTGTTATGGTTAGGGTAGGAAGGGTAGAGTAGATTAGGGTAGAATAGGGTAGAGTAGGGTAGGGTAGAGTAGGGTAGAGTAGGATAGGGTAGGGTAGGGTAGGGTAGTTCACATAAATTTTTTATATTAATAAAATTTTCAAAGTTTTTAAAATAAAGCTATTAATTCATTACAGAAAAATTTTTTAATTTGGTTTTTGTAAAATACGTCAAGTGCTCGTAAAGGGTTTTAAAATACGTTGAGCTTTATGTGCTTTTTTACTACTAATAAACAAAAAATTTTATTTAATGACATGGCTAACTTGTTTGAAATGTCGATAGAAACTTTAAAAATCTTTTTGTTAGTATTATTATATTAAATAAAAAAATAGAAAAAAATTTGAAGCCTGTATATCAAATGATATTTTGTACAAGTTTGTCTTGATTTTAAAAATTTTTTTAAAAATTTTTTATTATTTCTAAAAAAACTAATAATTGCAATTTTACAGTTATGGACCCACACAAACAACTTCTTCAAGAAGCTGAGACGACTAAGAAGTTTGCTTTTGTTGGCACGGTTGTTGGGTATGTTTAGCATTACTTTTTGAGCAAGTTATTCCTCAATATATCAACATGCTTTCTCTGAGTCTTAGGTTACTTTTCAGCTATTTTATTAGAGTAAAATACGAAATTGATAGTAGAGCTCCGGCTGCATTTTTTAAATGTTTTAACTTCTGCTCCGGCTCTTGTTCTGAAGCTAGAGCCGTGCCAGTTTGTTATAGGCTTTTAGACTAAAATTCTAAGCTTTACCAAATTTCAGAGTTGCCTCAATAGTAGTAGCAGCTCTGTTGATTCCAGCTTTGTGTACGTATCTTCAACATGTCCAGATTACCTTAGAAGATGAATTGTCATTCTGTCAAACTCAAACTCGCATATTGAAAGATCAATTCGAGCTAAAGACAGCTGGTGCTAGGAGAATGAAAAGAGGCGGTACTGCTGTCCAAGTGGAGCCACATTACCTAAATAGAGCCATTTATGTTGGAGAAGGAGCTCAGAAGGGCAGGCCTAGAACTCATGCTGTTAAGATTGATGTTGTTCATGAGGATGATGCTTTGACTGACTTTAGTCGAGGCAATCGTCAGGCTCAATATAGCGGTTACAATGCTGTAAGTTAAATTTGTATTGTTAGGTAATATACCTACAGTATAGCTAGTGTTATATTATTGTATAAGGTATTACCGTATCATACTATAAAATTATCAATACACGTTGTTTTAGGCCGGAGAAGGCGCACCAAAGCCATCTTCAACATCATCTCACGCTTCGTACAACGCGTACAATGAAGACGGTTACGGTAAATCAGAACCAGCCGCCCACGCTGAATCAGTTGAATCTGAACCCCACGCTGAAGCAGAATCTAATACAGACTCAGAATCTCACGCAGAATCTGGTCAATGCTCATGCGGAGTTGGAGCAGCTGGTGCACCAGGTCAACCAGGCCCAGACGGAAAGGACGGCCAAGATGGTGAACCAGGAAAACCAGGAGAGCACGGTAGCGACGCTAAGCCTGTAGCCAAAATGCAGCCAGAAGACTTCTGCTTTGACTGCCCAACTGGCCCACCTGGACCAGCCGGAACTGCCGGACCAAAAGGACCAAATGGTGAAGAAGGACCAGCTGGACAAAACGGAGAACCAGGCTCACCTGGCCCACAAGGACCACCAGGACCAGAAGGCACCCCAGGCATGGCTGGATCACCTGGAGATAAAGGAGCTGCTGGGGTACCAGGTGAAGTTACTCAAGGCGAAGCTGTGGCTGGTCCACCTGGACCAACAGGACCAGCTGGGCCTGCTGGACCAACTGGTCCTGCTGGTTCTAATGGTAATCCTGGAGCTCCAGGAGAAGCTGGACCAATTGGCGATGAAGGTGCTCCAGGTCGTGCTGGAGGCCTTGGTGCACCTGGATCGGCTGGTATTGATGGGGAACGTGGAGCAAAGGGATCTTGTGAACACTGTCCTCCACCTCGTACTGCTCCTGGGTACTAATTAATATTAGCTTTGGAAGACATTTTATTTAGTATTAGGTACTAAGTTTCTTTTGGTACTAGGATGCTATATATAGGCGTTATCTACTTACTAGTGTCTAAATGTACCAGGCAGCGCTGTTTTTTGTACTATGTAGTACTGTGACGCAAATTACTTGTTGTTATGCCATAATTATTATAATAAACATTATTATTATAAAGTTAACCCTTTACTTCAGCTAAGTTATCCTATTGAACTTTACTTTGTTTTATATTACTATATTACTATTAACGCTATAATAGTTAAAATTAAATGGTATAATACTATTACAGTGCATTAACGCATAAAAACAAAGTCGCATAGTTTTTGGATAAATTAGGTTTATGGTACTATAACTGAACATGCTATAGCAGTACTTTATGAAAAACATTGATATGGTAGCAGGTGTTACGCAAAAAACAATTCCTTCAGTCATAACAAAAAATAACACGTTAGACGTCTGAATTTACAAATTCTTCTAATCGTGACTTTTTTTAATTTTTTTATTTTATTTACGTACTTGTTAGTACGTCAAGGTTTATATATTTCAATTCGACGGTAAAAAAACAATAAATGGTTTGTTTACTTATTAATGAAAATCAAGTTATTCTACTAGAAAAGATACTAAATATCTGTTTCCTTCTTCTGGCAGTGGTTGTGACTTGTTACACGGTTTATTATATGATCCGAGCTTTTTCTTATGTAAGTTTAAACCTTATTTTTGTGATAATTGTTAATAATAGCCTTACAGTGAAGACTCTTTAGTAAGACACTCAAGAGACTGATTACATTATAACCAAAGATCTAATTGATTTTTGATAGAATTACAATAAAATTTTTAAAAACCGACTTAAAATATTAATATTTAAGTCCAAGCTAAACCAAAGTACAAATAGCATTCATTTTTGAAAAAATATAATAAAATAAGTTTTAATTTTATAAATCGACCTTGCTTTTCAAATAAATAATATCTAACATATAAAATACAGTTACAGAATGCGCAAATAAATACAGCGATATTATTAGCTCAACTACCCTGTGGAGCCATATTAACAGCTTTTGGTCAATCAGTGGTACGGGTAATAGATATTATGGGTTATAATAGTGAAATAGAGTTTCCTATACTGCATGATTTCATGTGGTGGCTTGGCAATGTTGGTAAGTCAAAAGACTTCAGACTAGCTTTAATATCATACTTTTTACACTTCTTTTTGTAATCTAAATATTTTGTTGTAAAACCTAAACTAGGCATGTGAAGCCTTGAACGTGAGCTTTTATTTATGGATGCCGGGCCGAACCTACTGGCCCACTTCAGATCTACTTTATCTTTACCCTTACTTCTATGGCCTACCCTCCTTCTCTTCACCATTTTATCCGACTCCAACCTTCTACTGTTTTTTTTCAAAAGTCCATGCCCTTTTGTATATACCTTTATATTGTAGCTTTCACTCTTGTAGAAAAAATTTCCAACATTGTAAGATTTGTAGGTACCGCCCTTCGCATGTGCACTCCATCAGCCCTCCTGTTAGAACGAGTCATCGCTACAATTAAAGTGTCAAATTATGAAACCTTTTGTGTTAGAATACCATACGTAGCATTGTCGATAATACTGGCCAGCCTCTTAGTATCAATAACTGTTTGCAGTGTTCTTATCTCTAATCTGGGTAAGTAAAATAGATTTCTAATAATATTATAAAGGAATATATAGAACGATATTATAAAGAAAGCTAAAACAATGTGATAAAGGAAGTTAGAATACTATAACCGGAAGTTATTTGTGATGTTGTGAGGATATAATAAAATAAACAATATGTATAAAACAGATGTTTAACAGAAAATGTAATAAGCAGTCCATAAAGTTAGTAAGATTTGATTATACAGTCATAAATGTTAAAGTAATTATGAATACATGCGCTGAAACTAAAAAATAAAAAAATAAAGCTGCTTTTAGGTACCTTTGCCAGGTACATTGGCTGTGTTTTTAGTAGTACTGGCGCCATCTTCTCTCTAATAGTAAGTAAAACACAACAAAATTATATTCTTGCAGGTATACCTAACCCTTCCCAAATGGTCTTTAAACGTATACAATCGTTATTTACTGAGTAACCAAACGAGAAGACTATCTATACATCAGTCTCTAACTCGACGATTTCAAAGTACTGAAAATCTACGTTTGAGTAAATTTCTGCGACAACTAATAGCTTTAGAATGGACTTTTACAGTTTCTGTAGTACTGATTCATATTGGTGCCAAAGTAAACAAAAGTGATGGTAATGGAAAGTACATCTACCTTACTTTTGCCTACTCTTGGATTTTGATTTGGGTAGGCTTTTGTTATAACATCTTCTACCTTAAAAGATTATTAATACACATATTTTTGACATGTTGATATTTTAAATATTCTTTTAGACTTTCATAACCATCACGTTCATAAGATGTAAAATCAAGAAACTCAAGAAAGTGGGGACATCAGTGGCTTCAGAAAAGATCAACAATGACCACGAGGTCATGAATAATGTTTATTTTGAATTGTACGCTAATGATTGGAGATAAAGTCTTAACTTACAAAGAAACTGAGCCACCCCACACAGAATTAGCTCGTAATCAAAGCTTATATGAATTCCTTGCGCTATCAAAATTTGGTAAATTTGGCATTGTGCTAAAAAAATAGCCTCAGGCTAAAATAGAAATCAAGCTTCCCAAAAGATAAAATATTACCTACTTTAACATGAAAAAAGTACAGGCAGGTTCTGCTGGAGTACAAAAGTAAGTACACTTTTACTATTTCTGTTTTTAAGTTAACGAAATGACATGACCACTTTATTTCTATTTCAGTTTATAATATTTAATTTAAAATAACTATTTAATTTAAAAATTTACAATAACTATTTATAGTTTTTAAAATTGGTAACAAGCCTGGCCAAACTGTATTGCCTTATGAATAAGCAGAAATATGCAAAAAACTTTTACATAGCTATAAAGTAAACGTTAAACTAAGCATTAAAACAACAGAGAGTAATATTTCGTGAACAGAAGACTGAACAGCACACCGGAATAAGGCGTTGTCAACATCGTCGCCAGGACCAGAACAATGTTGGATGCGTACATCCAAAACAATGTAATGAACATGGTCATTCAGCAGATGATGGAACCTTTTTCTTCGGATCTCATTAAACCTTATGGTTTTTGGCCAATTTTTACCGCGCGAACTTGTTCGCAACAACAGCTGCACTTAAATTCAAATATTTTGGAAAGTTGTTTCTTAACAATAAAAATATGAGTGAAATTCCATCGGACTAACTGCTTTTTAATTGTTGAAGTCAGCGACTCAATCAACCGCTCACCACTATCACGAGAAAACCGAAGTTACTTTATTCAGTGAATCTCGGCCTTTTATAGGGCCGAGGAAAGACATTTCACAATAGACAAATAACTAGAAACGATTGGAATAAATCGTATCCCAACATTAATTATAGATACCAATGCAGTAGAAAACGTAACTGCCCAAGACCTACCACAGGAAGATATATCTCAACTTGTAGAAAGAACTGATTATGAGGAAACTATTGATTACAATAAAAAAAATCTCAACCCTGTGACAGGTATATACGACGACGAGCGCCAAACTATCGACGATGACTCAGTGAAAGCAAGAGAAAATTTTGATGAAGTACGATTTGATAAGCAACAGAACGGCCTAGAGTTAATGAGTTTCTTAACTCTTGAAGAATGTTTTACGTATTCTCCATAACAGTAGACAATGCTTTCCGGTAGCGGCGTAAACATTTTGTCTTTGTTATCTATCAGATCTTCAATGAATGTCGTTTTTTCGGAATTTGAAACGCCGTTTACCGTTATATATTATCAGTATATGGATTTTTCAAAGGCTGTTGTACCAGCGTTATGTGCTGAAGGTTGTCCAGCTAAATCTGTCGTCAATTATCAGAGTAGATTTAAATATAATTTAAAAAACATTTTATAATAAAAAAATAGTTTGTAGTTCAGAAACGACTTTTTGTATCGACACCATAATGAATCCATCTCTTGGGGTCAGACAAAGTGTCGTGAACTGCTCACCCGTTGGGGGTAGGCTTTGCCACCTTCCCCTCCCCCTTTACTACTAGCTCTTGTTTATAAATGGTAATTTAAAGTACATTAAATTTACCGTGATGCGCGAGCATCAATCTTAATATAAACCAAAAGTTCAAACCACGAAAGCATAAATTAGAGGCTTCAGCCAGAACACAAACGATAACAAGACGTGAAAATCTGCGTCGGCCAAGGAATGCGATTCTTATCGCGGCGTCGGTCAGTCGTGGGAACGGGCTCTGATCTGGCGAATATATAAGCCAGGCATTGTGCACACTCTAGATCGATCGTCTACCTGCATAGAAGACAGCGCCAGTTTTTTTGTTTAAAATAGTGGCCGACGAAAAGCGTTTAAGGTGTCCGGACCAGAAACCAACCCCCGTAGAGAGATACGGTAGAAAGGGCTACCATGAATTAGGTCAAAAAAATAGTTAGGGATTAAGGCCAAGAATCAAGGCCAGCATGGCCGGCAATATTTAAGGCAGGCCAATCGGTTGTTCGAGGTCGACCTAAGCTTCTGTCTTCGAAGAAGCTTGTTAAAGTGTTTTTGCCTTTTTAGGCGTAGCGCGACATTTGGGGAAATTGACACATGTTTTTAGGTCAGTTTTGAAACGATCCCCAGTTTTTGTACGCAGCGTTTTTGACAGTTTTGAGGATACGGGCCCGGGAAGTTTTTAGGGGAGTTTGGGGAAGTTACAGATTAAGAGGGGATACAGTTAAGCTTGGGAGGCGGATCAGTAATACCTCATAGAGGTAGAAAGGATTAATATTATAATTAAATATATCATAACTATGTCTAGGAAAACCGTAGAGCTCAAGCCTAATGCAGGCAAAAAAATAGTATTGGTGTCGTGAATTGATCAAAAAATTGATCAATCAATATATTTAAAAAACGCATTCACGAGTTCCCAAGTCGTTAAATTTAATTGGCTTTGGCCTCTAGGCAATCATTTCACCTATTTAACATATTGTCAACCTCCCTTTCTTTCACTTAATGACCAATTTTATACTGTAGTTAATGTGTCTTTTAACACTATTTAAGGGCACCTCCTATAACATAAGAGTATGTTGTTTTTAGTGTATCTTATTCTACCGTGCTATACCATACTGTACTTTATTATTGCATCCTACTGTGCTGAAACTAAAAAATAAACATTATAAGTAATAACCTATTTGTCCTACTTTGGAATCAAAGTGTAGATTAACTACAATTGGGGAGGTGCTGGTCATAACCCGGACAAGAGGAGGCGAGGAGATGGATCCACCGCCACGCCAAGGAGAATTGGGCCGCAACCAGCGACAAAGGGTAAATCTAACCAGCGGGACAGCGGGTATAAAGACTTGCCGAGCAAGTGCACACTGCGTAATGAAGGCGGCAAACATTGGTAAATTTATGGTTTTTAGACTTGGAGAACCTACTCGACGTTGATGAACGAAGAGCGAGAGCTCTCGCTGAAAACCGTAACAGATTTTTAGATTGTCGATACCGGGGCCCAGCCGCGTCCCCGCCGCACATGGGGTGCCCAAAGACAGCTGGAGGACGTAGGCATTTATTCTAGAAACCCCAGTTGACCTTCTTCCTTGCCCCCGTATCTTTACTAGGTACAAGATCCAGTAAAACCGGCCCTTATTGTTAATTAGTGCGTGTGGAACGAAGGAAGGCTTGCTTAATGTCGTAGTTTTACCAATTCAGCGGCTGAAAATGAAATATTACCTACGGTACCATGAAAAAAGAACAGGAAGAAACAGCTGGAGTACCAAACTAATAACACTTTTAAGGAAGACATATCATAAAAAGCTAGTACTCAAAAAATCTGATTGTAAGACATCAGATTTTTTAAATTAACTGATTTTTTTCACACATCTTTTTCAAAGTCGTTCAAACGGTTTGGCTTTAAAAAAGTTACGGAGGCTGATCTATAAGATTCAAGTTTCGTACCTAAACATGAAAATTATTAGTTAAGAGGCTCTGTATTATTTGGACAACCTATTACTACAGAGTTCACTCACGTAATCTAGTTATTGTAATTATAATACAAACATCAAAGTTCAATAACTTAATCTCAACAATGTGTAAGATTAAATTTGTGCAGGTTAATAGCAATAAAGTAAACTTTACAAGCAGATGTAACTCTTGTATTAATGACAATAAATAACGCATTACACGTCTAAATTACAAACATTAAATGTGACATTTTAAAATTGTATTTACTTTTTTTACTGTAGTAATCAATCAATTGTAAAAATCTAATACTGGTTTTCAACATTAAAGTTAATTTTTTTTTATTTTTAAATTGGCTTTATATTTGAATTCGTATTTTATAAACCGTAAAATGGTATGCGTTGTAATGACTGAAGATCAACTAGTTTTAATAGAAAGAATACTCGATGCGATTTTTGTTGTACTGGCTATGGTAGTATCTTGTTACACTGTACATTATATAAGTACTTCCTTCGCTTATGTAAGCCCTTTTTTAATCATAAAGTTATTATTCACAAGAAAAGTACCGGGCTTCCTTTACTCAGAATCTGCTCAAAATTTTTATACAAATTCTTTGCATAACCAATTGTACATATAAACATTTTTAGCTTGAAATTTTTAATTTAAAATACAGTTAAACCTCTGTATAACAAATCGCTAGGAAAATTAAAATTTGTTCGTTATGAACGGGTTTTGTTATAGTTTTAAAATGTGTAATAACAGAGGTTCAAAAGTTGTTCGTTATATAGGAGCTTCGTTATATATGTAGAGGTTCCGCGGAGGTTCCACTGTATAAGTATTTAAGTTTTCTTGCCAATATTGAATATTTGACACTGTGTTTCAAGCACTTTTTTGATGTTTCGGGTAGGAGAGGCTTAAAATTTACATAATGTAGAGTTAGAAATTGATCAAAGTGGAGCAGGTCAGGCACCTTTTTTGTATACTGTTCAAAACGATTTTGTCGTTTATAGACGTGTAAACCTTATGTATAAAATGAAACAATTTTTAAAATTTAAGCAGAACTAATAGATAACAAAACTCTATAACAAACAAATTTTGAACCTCTGAGTAATTTGTTATACAAGAGTTATAATGAAGTATATAGTACTAAAAATAGCTAGATTTAACACAAAATTTAGTTACAGCACATACTGTTCGGGAACGACCGCTCGCTAGCGTCACAGAATAGAAATGCTGATTGCCTACGTGCCAAAGCCAAGACTGAATCCCACGCCAGATGAACTGATACATTGTACTTCTACTGATTTGCATATCTCTTGTTGTACTTGTTTAGCGGCCGGTATAAAAGCCCGGTCGCGTACTGAATAAACCAGTCTACTTTCAAGATCGATTTAGTGTCGGGTCGCTTTGGGGAAACCTCTGAGACCGCGACACATACAAATAAACACAGCTATACTATTGGCACAGATACCTTTTGGAACCTTGTTAACCACTTTTGGTCAATCAGTGATAAGATTGGTAGATATTAGTAGGCATAGGACGGAAGTTTATTTTCCAGCAATTTTCAGTGTTATGTGGTGGATCGCTGATATTGGTATGTTACTTATATATACAAGGGTGGCCAAAGCTGTCATTATAAAGAGAGTGTCGCACTATTGAGGGTAATACTAAAGTAATTTTTCGGTAGCATTTAGAACTTCTATCACAAAGTCCCAAAGTATATCATCATCGTGACACACTGGTTATAACGACAATTTTGGACTAGTTTCTAAAGTGTCCTATTAAAATGTAAAGTAAAAATTGTAAAGAGATTTAATTGTATTATATCGTTACTACAGGAATATCTCTTCGAATGTGCACCTCACTAGCCCTGTTGACTGAACGTTTTATCGCTACTATTAAAGTGTCAAATTATGAAAATTTTTTGCATAAAAATATCATATGTAGCATTGTGTATAATCATGGGTAATGTTGTAGTATCAATCACTATTTGTCGTATTCTTGTTTCTAATTTAGGTAAGTTGTTTGTAATATTTACTCTCTCAACTTCCCTTTGCTACAAGTAGACCTATAAAGAAGTTTATCTTCTGTAACACCCTTCTCTTCTCTATTGATTTAAGGCACCAGTTATAAGGTTGTTCAAATAACTTGAGCCCCTTAAACACAGAAATTTGCTATGAAAGGGGCGCAGAATTGTTTGAACAACCTTTTTTTTAATTGTAAATTTAAAAAACTATAGACAAACGATTGATTTTAGGTACATTCACCAAGTACTGTGGGTGCTTTCTTGGCGTTGCAAGTGTCATATTTTCATTAATTGTCAGTTTAACGTATTTATTTTTGTTTAATTAATCTTGCACCCAAAACCCCCCCCGAAACTTTTCTTTAAAACGAGGCGCAGAATTAATTGAACAAACTAATAATTTCACAATGGTACGATTAAAATTTTAAAAATAAGCTTTAACATACCTTCATTATCATAAACTTCAACTCAACCTATATTGTCATAATTCTAGGTATATCTAATTCTCCCCAAATGGTCTCTAAAAGTCTGCAACCGATATTCAATGAGTAACAAAGCAAGAAAAGTATCACTACATCATTCACTAACTCGACGGTTTCAAAGTACTGAAAATCTTCGTTTGAGTAAATTCCTGCGACAATTAATCGCTTCGGAATGAGTATTTATGTCATCCGTTGTGCTAATACACATTGGTGCAAAAATACATGACAATTACAATCATACACAGTATATTTACCTTACTGTTTCTTACATTTGGATCGTGGGTTGGGTAAGTATTTTAATGTTACTGCCTTACCTTACCTTACCTTACCTTACCTTACCTTACCTTACCCTACCCTACCCTACCCTACCCTACCCTACCCTACCCTACCCTACCCTACCCTACCCTACCCTACCCTACCCTACCCTTCCCTACCCTACCCTACTTTACCCTACCCTACTCTACTCTGCCTTACTTTACCGTACCTCATTTTGTCTTACTTTGACCTATTCTGCTTCAACTAAAAGTACAGTACTTTTTCAGACGCCTATCATATTAGCTTTTGTCAAAAGAAAAATGAAAAGCTTTAAAGACGGTGTCATATCAGTAGCGGCCGATGAAATCAACAATGATCATGCAGTCATGAACAAACTGTACTTTGAGTTGTATGCTAATGACTGGAACTAATGAATTAAAATATAATGATATATTTCTACTGACTGTAATACATACAAGCTTAATGTCACATACAAGACATAAAACAACATCTTTATTCAGGATCCTTGAGAACAATGTCGCCGGCGAATACGAACTCTCGAGCATAGGGTGGGATCTTGTACTCTCTTTCACTTGGCTGTCCTTGAGGATGACAATGGCCAATGTATTGGAGGTAGAAGGCTTTGGAATCGTCATACTTGGCATTGCATCTGATGTGATAACGACCGTCCGGCCATATGTTGAAGGTGCTGCAGCTTCTGAAATAGCAAAAGTTACAGTAAGCAAGCGTTATTTGAATAGCTGTTTCTGTAATCAAAACATAGTTTAATCTGTTGTTCAAATAATTCTGAGCCCCCTCTCAAAACAAATTTTTGAATTTAGTGCTAGAATTTATTAAACAACCTATTAAATGTAAAATACAATAGCCAAAGCTTTTTTTAACTACAGTAACTAAAAAATAAAACTTACTCAGACAAGTCCCTGTAGTCGTCGTCAGCGAGTGCGACCACAAACTTCACGCTACACCTCTTCCCCAAGCACGATGACGCACCAGGACACAAAATAGTACCGTACTCTTCGAATTCACGACCATCACGACGATCGGCTCGGGTAGCTACAGTAAGCAACAAAAAGACGAAGAACAACTTCATAACAACCACCTTGTCGTACAGTAGCTTTTTTTAAAAATGGAATTTTTTGAAATTAAAATTTTTAATTTTTTGAATTATAAAAATTTGAAAAAAGCAAAATTTCAAAGATTTTTCATTCAAAATCCTTCAAAAGTAACCGGATAGGTTGGTATTCCAGAGCAATGAAATTATTACTGGTGCTTTTCGTGTTTTTTGGTACAGTTTGGGCACGTCGTGCAAGAGATATCGACTTCTATGGCTACCTTACATGTCAAGACGGCTCTACATGTCTTAACAAAGAATGTGGCGTGGATTTGATGATTAAAGACGGTGGCAGCATCGTTAATATCCCTGATAAGTAAGTTTTTATTAAATTATTGGTAGAATAGGTATGAGTGAAGATGTAAATTTAGTTATGCTATAGCTTATCCTACGCTAGCCTACTGTACCTTGCCATACCTTACTTTGCCTTACCTTACCCACCTTCTACCTTACCCTACCATGTCTTAGCTATTACAATCTAACCCACTACAACTTACAGTATGTGCTCAGTCCGCCGCGTCTACGACGACTTTCGCTTCCACATCAAATGCAAACCAAAAGGCTATGACAACAAGAAATACACCTTCTACATCAAGTACTATGGACGGTGTGGCAGAAACAACCAATGGGCGGAACGCCATTCTCCTGTCCCAGTTCACAATGGCCAACATCCAGTAATGGCATATGTTGGAGAAGTCAACATTCCACGCGAAACCATCGAAGAATGATGCTTCTGTTGAGGAACTTCTGTTTATATGTAGCTATAAACTTGTGTTATTATGTATTGGTTTGATCTTTATAATACAATATAGTTAGGCCAGTAAAACATATAAACCACAAAATACGACACCCTCAACATAAGCCTTTATTCAATACAGTACTGGCACCATATTCTGATAGTAATTCGACAGATGAATCGGTGGTTTGTCGTCAATGTATTCGATGGTCGCTTTCATGTCTTTATGGCCACAACAACATAAAATGTCGTTTTTGGCGGCGATATACATACATTTGCATCCTTTTTTGATTATGTCGTCTTGGTGTTGGCAGACCGCACTGAACAATGCTCGTGTCCCTTCGTCCGCTATTCGCTCGTGCTTAAACTTGAAGGCCCAAGAGTTTTGGTCCACATAGGGCGCGTCTTTCTTGTTTTCGGCCGGTTTTCTCCTCAGATCACGTTCGTCGTAGCGATAGACTTCTGAAAATTTATTAACATAAAATTTTTGTAAAGAAAGTGATTGCAAATTCCAAAAAAATTTCTGTAGCAACGCATTGGCGTCGATATTACACTGCTTTAGAATTCAAAAAACAATAAGACTCTTTGACAGCCTAATAGAGACATATAACGTCATAATTTATATAAAAAGCTCCAAAAAACCTGCCGAATCTATCATTCACAACATCAATGTATTTGTTGCTTCTTTGAAGAACACAAACACTGTCAATCGAGTAGTCGAATTGTAGCTCCGGATCATTCGGCTTCACGATCAAACCTCCTCTTCTTTGGTCTTCTCCTATGCATTTTTCAATCTCCTAAACAATGCCGCATTACATACACTAGACTCCTGTATAACAAACTCTTCTTTAACAAAAAACTTGTGAATCCCCCCGGCCAACAACACAGAACATATTTAAAACTCTTTAACAAAACTTGTTAAACATAATATAAAAAAAGATATGTACTTTACTTTATATTACACCAGCTATTGAATACCTAACCTTTCTATCATTCCTCAAAACTTCGTATGGATGTTTAGTCATTGTGTGAACGTATGGAAACAAAGTCTCTTCCGAATTGCACGGTACTCCATCAGTATTCAGACAAACACAAAACACTATTTTTCGTCGTCTTTTGAAAAAACTTATACCCATCGGTCTAAAATGACAGTATTTTCTAAATTTTCATATTTTCAAAAAGGACTTTTTTTAATTTGAAAAATTCAAAAATTTTAAAAATGAACTTACGCAGTAAACTTCGTACAACCTTTTGGAGACCTTGACATGCTAGTTTCGTATATAAAAGTTGCCATATCATCGTTTAGGCGCGTCAATATGTTTCGACTAAAATTTTTAATTAAAATTTGCATCAAAGTTTAATATTACTTTTTTCAAACTAAAAATAGCAGTAACTTTCTTTACAAGGTAAATAAAAACAAAAACTTTCCTTCCAAACCTCAAAAACAGCAAGAACTTTCTTTACAGTCTATGTTCACCTTCCAAACAATGAGAATCTTTAAAAACGACCTATTCATACTCAAAAACCTTATCAAAACCTACAAAACAGAACGTATAAACTCCTCGCGTCCAATGGTATAGTTCGCGTTGTTACTCAGACCATAGTACATTCTCTTCAATGGAATCTTGAACTTTTTCAAATGATAATGTCGATAACTGGAGACAAACGAAGTGCAGAAGGCTGAGTCGTCCTTCACGAAACCTCTCACTGGAGATGTCCATTTCTGGTTTAGACCGGCCATTCTGAACCTGTCCTTACCGTAGAATGGCTCCGCTTCGGCGCTAAAACTGTAGCAGCCAACGGTGGCTTTTTCCTGAAAGTAAAGTATCTACTATAATATAAATATTAATGTAAATACCATAAGAATGCTACATTAGTTAACGCTATTTTACTTTACTTTACTCCACTCTACTTTGCCCCACCCTACTCTGCCCTACCCTACCCTTCTCCGTCCTAAAGCAGCCTCTACTCTAAATTAAACTCTACCCCTGCCCAATCATACCATAACCTACCGCCATTTCGCCAATAAACCTCATGTCATGAGCAAACTCTCTATCACAATATCTCAATTGTTTCGGATCACAGTAAATAATCAAGATACGACGTGCTTTCACTCTGTCCGTCACTTCAACTCCAATCTCCACCTTCACATCCGGTCGGTCCAAAATTAAAAGTTTGAGTGGAAAAAACTTTCTTTCCAGTCGATTCAAAGCGGTCGTTGCGTCCATATTGACGATAAGTTGAGTTACTCTACAAAGTTCCTTGAATCCTCCACTTCTGACGGCATCTGAGTAGTGACAGTGTAGGTGGTCGGTCAGAAGACGGTGATCTGGTATGAATGGGTTTAGCGACTTTCGCTTTCTTGTGTCCAATCGACGGAAAAGCGAGAAAAAATGATCGATTGCTGCTGGGCTGGTGTCCCTTGTTATCTAAAAAGTTTTTAACTTGAATCTTATGGTATTACTACAGTTATTTTTTATTTTTTAATCAACAAAAAGATCTTCAAGTACTATAATAATTTTAAAAAGACCGCCTCAAGATAAAAAAAAAAATAAACTGACATGACTTTTGACAGTATGATCAATTTTGTACAATCCTTTTTCCATAAAATGGTCCTTGACATAACTTGTAGAACCAGAAAATATGTCCAGGTATGACCCGGTGTTATTCCTGAAAATAAGTCAACATAAGGAAGTAAAGGTTTAGGTTTATAGCTATTTACATGTCTAGTTACGAACACAGAAGCTTTACTTTTACATATAATCCATAAGCCTTAAAAAATTGATAAAAAAAAGTAAAAACTTACATTGGCCGTACATCAAAGTGAACTGCGCATCCCTAAAAACAACCTTCATATAACAACAAAGAATATTGAGTATAATATTCTCCTAAAATAAATAAGCTAAGTCTCGCTATAAACAAAATTAATTAAAGAACGTTTTTGTTGATTATAATGATTTCTTCTTTCATCTAAAACCTTAAAATAAGTTAAAGTAACGAACTCACGTGAAGAGAACTGAATTCTTCGGCAAATCGTGTGTCAACTCGTGAATCGTAGAAGGATTCTGAAGACAATTCTGGTAGGTCAAAGCCAATAGCACTGGAAATAAATTCTTTGAAGATTTTTTTAAATAACACAAAAAATTAATTTTTTAAACGATACTTATGATAATAAGGTCTACAACAAGGTAAACCAACAAGAGCATGTCAGAAACAGATTTACTCAACAAAAACATGGATAATATATTGAAAATAGGGTAAAAAACAATGTATTTGAACGGAAAAAACTACACTAAATAAAACTTGAAGAAAAGCAAAGAATAAAATCAAAAACAATATTATACTCACCGAACATTATGTCCAATGTCATAATATTTTGATTCAAAAGTGAATGCCACTTTGAAACAAAACTGTTCTGCTGGCTGCAAGGAGAAGTTGGCTGGTATATTCTGGCAGTACAACAAGTTGTGATAACTTTCTGCATTTTCATGGACCTTATTCTCGGCCAAACACGTAAAATTGTTACCTAAAAAGGCGGGTGCCAGAGTTTCGTCTGTTTCGGAAGGATTTCCTGAAAGAACATTGATGAATGTTACCTATTTTCTTGAAATAATATTGATAAGAGTTATTTATTATATTAATAAGAAATTTGTAAGACGTATTTTACTTAAAAAATTTATCAATATTACCCATTTTAATAAAATATCCATTCAAACGACATACAAAAGTTAATTTTACAAAAATAAACCTGATATTACCCTTCTTTTAACTTGACATTAGTAAAAACACGTTTATTGTACTTCAAAGTTCACGTTAAGATAAACTTCCATGTTGTAGTAGGTGTATAAAAACTTTGTGTAAAAGTATTTGTATAAAATTAGCACTTACTCGCATGAAGTATGTTCATCTCTCGACTTTCCATTGAATGGTAAAACGTTTCTTCGTGGAGAAAGCTACAGGAATTTGAAATGTACTGAAACAGTTAACTGTAACTGCAGCTGCAGTTGGTTAACATTTTTAAGACAAATTTAGGAAACAAAAACATTTTTAGCTCTAGAAAAATATAAATTGGTGTAGATCATTTCAAAACACTAGCTAACAATAAATTCCAATCAAAACAAAAAAAATGATTTGTTTGCAATAAACTTACATTAAAGCTGAAGGCATCTCTACATTCTTTTTCTTCTGCTTGTAAGGATAAGAAAGCAATAGAAGACACGGTAATTATTACTAAAACGTAGCACCGCATGTTGGTAAAAAGTATAAAAAATAACAAACTTTTTAGTTTTCTATTTTCTGTGATTTAAAAAAATATTTTATTTTTTATTCATTAAAATTTTTTTTTATTTTTTAAACTTTTGTTATCATACACAGTAAGTTGTCCAAATAATTCTGTGCTCCCTCTAAACCAAACTTTTGCGGTAAGGGGTACAAAATTATTTAAACAACCTAATCCTTTATATATTTAATTGTATGTAGGACAATATGTAGGGATTGGTTTATTTGTTGTCATAAGCTCTTAATGCCAAAACATTATTGTAGTGTACAATGTATAGCTGTACATCTGTAGCAAAAATGTTGTATTCTATGATTAGCCTTTGCAATGGTTGCTAATTAAGCTCTAAACAGAATTAAATTTGTAGTTTTCAAAATTTTGGTGTAAAAATGTAGGTGTCAGTTGTGTAGCATTATAATATATTTTTAGCTACATAAGGAACTTGTGTCTTATGGTTGTGTACATGCACGTGCATTATTGTGAATTTTATATATGAATATTAATACGCTCGTATTTTTAATAAGATGTAAACGTCAATGTGTATGTATTCTTCAATATAATTGCGCATCTTGCTATTAAGTGTCTAGTGTAGATGTTTATGTTTACATAGTCAATAGTAGATGCGTTTTTAAATGCTTTTTATGGCAATTTTATAAAATTCGTAGATTTATTTGCACTTATTACTTATAGTAAACAAATATAATTAAAAGCGGGCTAAAGATATGTTTACTACTTGTTTTTACTACTATTTACATAGTAGTAACAACAAGTAGAACTTACTAAACAGACTTTTTTTATCATTCTTTTCTTTTCGTTAAATTAAATAATTTTTTTTAATTTTTAAAAGTCACAATACAATAACAATACGAAAATTTGTAGAATAGGTAACGTTCTTTAGTCATTTTTAATTAATGACTTATGCTTTATGACAAGTAAATACTATTGTATGTATGTGTTTACTTTTGTATTCATTACCCAAAGTAAAACTACATTCTCAGGCAGTTTTGTAACTTCTGTTTATGAGCTAGATTTTGTCTGGGAAGGTTTTAATATGTACGTTCATGCAGTAGAGCCTCCATATAAAAAAATTCCTTATAATAATGCCCTCTTCTTTCAATAACCTATATATATTATAAATAATCTTTTGTATTATTAGTGATAGTGGGGAGGTCTAACCAGGGACGTCGCTACGGTTTTTCTCTGGGGGGGGGGTTTTGGTCCTTTGGTTTTGGTCCTCGATTTTTCAAAAAATTTTTTTTTGTTTTTTCACGTACAGGTACCTACCTACCTGTGGATTTTTTCGGATCGGCTCTGGGGGGGGCTTTTTGTACTTATGTAATATAAAAACTGTTTTTTATTTAAATTTATTTATAAACTTATTATGAAGACAAGTTTCTTTGTCTTTTACCTTAGTAACTCTAAGGCATAGTAGTTTGAGTTTTATGAGTTTATGTTTATTTGTAGTCACCGTTCTATAAAACATCAACTGCAAATTATAGTATAATTTAAAGTCACATTTAAGACCTATATACAATTTCTGTGAACACATGTTACTGTGATATAGTAGTAAATGTGTTGATGTATTTGCAAATCTAATATGAACATTGTTAATGTCATTACGGTGAGGACGTAAATTGGCAAAATTCATTTTGACGCCATTTCTGGACGTTCTTTTACCATTCTTGTGTTACTGAGGTCATAACTTCTTTTTTGTACGTCTGTTACTCTTCAAGTTGGCTTTGTTATATACTACAATATAACATGTACAATATTTGTAACATTTCCTCGTTTTATGTGTTACACTTGTCTTGTATTCTATAGTCTAAAATCTAAGTTACTGAGTTTTGCGTTTTGATTAATTATACATATACCATATAATATACCTTTTTTGCCTTTTATATTTATATACATGACTTTAAAAACTTTAAACTACTCTTTTAGGATGAACAACTCATATACTGTAACATGCAGTATAGCATATGAACTTTACCATAATGCTGGTTTTCGAAATTCAGAAATTTTTCACTTTTTCACTTCGATAACTGGCACGGCATTTTTAGTAAAAGCTCTACAAATTGATATAAAACGAAAATCTGAATGGACTTTAGACAAGGCAAGTTATGACATTTCTATAATACAATGGAACCCCTGTATAGCGAGAAAAGTGACACTGTAGTTTATATGTTTATAATAAGGTCAGGCTAGAACTAAAAGAGGGCTCATTAGGACCAACCCGGGCTGGTCAAAACACGTTAGAAAGTGGCCGGTTTGAGAATCTGATCCCGGTCTTTTCACAGGTTTCTTTAAAGTTTTGTAAGCGTAAGAGCTAAAAGTTTTCTATTTTTTGTATTTTTAGGTGGTAACTTATATATCAGTATCGGTTATGCTCATCCACAACATTTCATGCGCTTCTATTGTGATTGATGCTGCGGTAAGTGGGGTTTAGTTTATATTGATGCTGCGGTATGCCTTTTCCTTGTGATTTTTTTTATTTTAATCTTTGCCAAATTTCAAAAAAAATTTTTAAACGTTTTTTTGGTCATAGTTAGACTTAAAATAGGGAACCACATGGCCCGGACCGGACCAAACAATAATACGCGCCGTAGCTTTTTACAGGTCTTGAATGATACATATTAATCTTTGTAGTATGTAAAAGTTTATATCAAATAACAATATTAAATAATTACAAAACTAATTCTATTTTAGATATGTTTTTTTTATTTAATAACGCTTTTTTGGCTTAATTCAGTTATTTTATTTACTCTTTTTCAGTTTAAAAATTGCTATTTTTACAATTTTTAATTTTTTAAGATACGAAAACCTTTACGAAGCGTATCTGAAAAACATTGTAAAATTCAAAATTAAAAAAAAAAAATAAAAAAGATATTGCATTCATAACTGCAAACTCATCATACAAAACTCTACCTTCCAGTACAAAACCCAAACAGCTGAAACAGCATGTGATTATACAATACAAACATCAACATGCCTAATCTTCCGCATACCTACTATAACATCTTTAATAGTGGTTAGCATTGGATCAGTTGCAGTAGCTTCTTCTTACTTTTTCCAACTGTTTAGTCACTGTAAAAGTGAGAACAGAGTAATAGAAAATACGATTGGGATACTGTTTATATTCATATGTTCAGCTTTACTATCGTATTATGTCTTCTATGAAGAAAATATGGGATTGGCCAAGTTTTACTGTATAGCAGAAAGTGCGACAAACCGTGATAAAATGACAAAAATGTTCATGTTGATAGCTGCTTTGGATGCTGTTGGTGTTGTTTTGTGTTTTAGTTTGGCTGTGGCTACGAGGAAGAAGTTGAAAAGGTAAGCAAACGTTAATCAACGTATTTTACAAAATATTTGGATTTATACAGTTCTGTTGCTTTTTAACAAAGTTTTACGTTTAAAAGCGACAAGACTATATTTACATGACATATTCCGTCTTTTTTTACAAAAAATATTTTAAAATTTCAAAATTCTGCGTAAAATTTAAAAAATCATTACAATTTTAGAAACGCTCACAACTTTCATCTGAATCTTCACTATGAATTTGCATCAAGTTTTAAAACTTTAAAATCCAATTTTTTAAAGTGCGTATGTCGTATTTTAGTGTTTGACACTTTCTTATTTTTAAATTTTTATTTTCGGGTTATTATTGATCCAGAACGTGAAAAAATGAGGTATATGGTGTGGATCAACAGAAATTACGTAAGTTTGTTGCTGTTTTTCAAGTATTTTTTTCCAAAAAAATTTTAAAAAATTACGAGTTTCTGCTGCCTTTGCCCTGCTTTTGTCCTGCCTTTGCCCTGCTTTTGCCCTGCTTTTGCCCTGCCTTTGCCCTGCTTTTTCTCTGCCTTTGCCCTGCCTTTGCCCTGCCTTTGCCCTGCTTTTGCCCTGCCTTTGCCCTGCTTTTGCCCTGCTTTTGCCCTGCCTTTGCCCAGCATTTGCCCTGCCTTTGCCCTGCCTTTGCCCTGCTTTTGCCCTGCCTTTACCCTGCCTTTGCCCTGCCTTTGCCCTGCCTTTGCCCTGCCTTTGCCCTGCCTTTGCCCTGCCTTTGCCCTGCCTTTGCCCTGCCTTTGCCCTGCCTTTGCCCTGCCTTTGCCCTGCCTTTGCCCTGCCTTTGCCTTGCTTTTGCCCTGCCCAAGCAATATAAAAAAAATAAATTTTCCATTTTAGAACATTCAAATCTACACCATATTTTACGCCTTATTTATAATATTTGACAACAAATTTAAAGTGCAATCTCAAAAAGTATTTGGGACCGTGGATGCTACAGAGCACCATCATAAACAAATGATGCAGCTATGGTTGAGTAACAAACGGCCAGAACACTACACTGCTTGACCTTAATGGTGTATATTTGTATAGGTTGTTAATAAAAACTTGTTTTTAACTCTTATAAAATATAAATATTGACACAAACGTTTAAACTTTTGTAAATTCAAAAACACAAACAAAAATATGCAACAAGCTTTGACTTTGTCATAACAATGTCATCGCATTAACTCTCCGTTATTTATCCTTGATGTTTGGTCGGTGTCAATCTAGCAGAGTTCAACTCCACGTGAGACCGACTACTTTTGTTTGAAAAGAACAAACACAATGTTGTTATTCTCGACTGCGCAGGTCTCTTTTACGTTATGCACCCGGGAAGGTAGTGAGGAGGGCCTTTGTGTTATGATGTTACGGACAATTGTAGTCAATTTAGTTATAATTTCAAGACTGTCTAGTCAATTTGATCTTGATTATTTTATTTGCAATTAAACTTACAAATAAAGTGCCCGTCCTGCTTGCCGGGCTCTGGTTGACTTCAAAGTTTTCGTATAGAAAGATCATGTAAATATAAACTCTTCAACAAAGTACTAAATCGCACCTTCCAGCCAATCCCGAGAAAATCGAGTTTAAAAATTAGTTTTTGAAATTTTCCGTTAAATTGGCATTGTGTTTCAAGCTTATAACTTTGACTTTTTGACTTTCAGTCATTTTTGTTTGATATACTATTAGAAAACCTTTAAATCTCACCTACACTTTTAAATTTTTTAGCTTATCTTATCTGGAAAATCAAAACAAGACTTGAGACACAATGCAAAATTTATGGTACCTTATATTTCAATTTTAAAAATCAAAAAACTGAAATTTTTTATGGGTACTATCAGTGGTACAAAGAATTTATATAAAAATTTTGAGCTGATTCTGAGCGGGCAATTTAGAGATTTTCCTTGTTAGTTTTCATAATATAATTCAAATAATCTAATATTCCCCAACTTAAACGTTTAAAAATTATACTACAAACTTACATTTTTATCCAGTAACCTCAAAGTAATGTTCGGGAACGTAAAAGTAAGAATAATTAGAGCTAACGTGCGTGACTCACTCTGTTCCCAGCCTTGTTGACGTCGTTTTCTTTCAAAATATTTATCGTTTTTATCTTTTGAAAGCCTGAATCAACAAATATCCGGTGTTCTTTTTATTATTTTGAATAATATTTCGAATTTAAAGAAATAAGGGTTTGATTGAAAAGTTTCGATATAAAAAATTTCTAATATAAAAGGTTTGTTATTTAGAGTTTTACTGTTTTGTTACCTAAAAGTTTGAATATGTGAAGTTGGAATGAACGGTTTTGATAAATGGGTTATTGTATTGAGATCAAAATTTGGGGTATGATAAGTCATTTTAGGGGACCACAGTTTCATTTTTTTCTTTTTTTACTGATTTTTAGCAAAAAAAAGTAATTTTTAGTCAAAAAAGTATGATGTTGGGTACCTGTTTCATTAATTCATAACTTTTTTAATTTAGGCTTTAAAAATCTAAACTTCACAGCTGAGAATCAAAATAAGCTGAAGAGTACTTGTAATTAGTTTGACAGTTGTAGCTTGTAAACTAATCAAGTTATAACGACTTTTTCACAAATTTTAGAAAAATCTTAAAGTAATAGGTTGAACCAAAAGTAGCGGGACACGTTCACATTATTCTTTACATTTACCATTACTATTTTATGTATTACTTATAATTTTAAGACATTACTTCAGTTAAAACTCAATAAAAGCATTTAAAATGTAGCCAACTCTCAACTTTTAAGTGGAGCAAGTAGTTAGAGTGGCAGTTGAGTGCGAACTTTTGTACAATTTTTACGTTTGTGAAAAGTAATCGAATCGAAGGATTGTCAAAGCAAGGTAAACTTTAAACTGTTGCTACTTTGTTTTACGAGAGTTTTTTTGGCTGGGAAAGGGGATTTAAGTTGTTTATTACAACGCTTTTGCACTGTTTGTTGCTTTTGTCGCTTCCGACTATTGAAACGGGGGATACGGGCTTTTGTGATTTGGCGTTTTTTGTTTTTTTTGCTTTGAAAATAACTGTAAATATGAAAAATTTGGAAAAATAGGGATATTTGTCTCTTTTGACGGCCGGAAGGATAATTTTATTTTTTATGCAAGTGGTGGGGGGGGGGGGCTTTAATTCCCTCTTTTTTCTTACCCCTCCCACCCCTACAACGCTCAGCCCTACCCAACAAGAATATTATTAAAAATTTTCAAAAGCTTTGTAACGGAGAATATGACATTGTTTTTGCACCCTAAAACCCTATTAATATTCCACTTAAGCCTACTTTTGCATATCAAATGTTCATAACAACATTGTGATTAACATATCTTTTAAAATCGTTGGTAATGTTAATTAACCTAACTCCTAAAATATTATTAACAACACACTGATACATTTCCAAAAATCAAACATTACAATTGGTGATAATCAGACAGTTTTGTTGAATTTCTAATCTTGATTGTTTTGCGACAATTAACTTTTGATTTTCTGAGTGCAATGATAGAGGAAGTGACGGCTTTATTTGAACGATTAGTTTTAATTTAATTTTAAAAAAAAATTTTTTTTTAATTTATATGTTACGATGGGAAATGGTGAAAGTATAACATAGGTAGAATAACTTTTTTTATTATGCCCGGTTCTTCTCTGGCCTGCTCAAGAAATAATGTTTTTTTGCGTTTTTTTGTTTAAATTTTATCAAAATTTGGGTTTTATAATCCTTACTTTTGGATGTTGTTTGTTTCTATATATTAAAAGTGCATTATAATAACTATTTTTTGAAATTTTTGTGTTTTTCAATATTTATCTGACGAATATTATTATCCGTGTAACACAGGTTTAAAGGGCCACAAAACGTCCTTGAAAAACGATGATTCAATACTAATTTAAAGTGATTTCAGATATTTTCAATATGTGTCGGGTGTTGATGTTAATTTTATGTATTCTTTTGCCGGTAAGTCATCTTTTATGATTTAAAAATGGATTTGTGTCACAACACTTTTCTCTGATGGGCTTGTTAAAATTTTGTTACTATGGACTCTTTTCAATTTTTAAAAATATTTTTTGTGAACGGGTCCTTATCCATCTTTCTTTTTTTATTAGGTTGTCCAAATAATTCTCCGTCCCTTAACCCTAAAAATTTTCTTTGAACTGGGGCACAGAATTATTTCAACAACTTAATAGAATTCTAGCTTTGATTTAATTACTCGGTACAATATTAAAAATTTGGCTTTAAAAAGTTTTAAATCTAATTTTAAATATTGAAAAATAAAAAAAAATCATTTTTAGCCAGTGGCAGTTTTATTGACAACCGGCTGTTCGATCCACTTGATCATCAACATCTTTTTCACCCTGTTGGGGGTGATACCGGGTATATTCCACGCGGTATACGTGTGCTTCTACAACCATGGTGTTTGATAATGGCATTGCTCAGGACAGTTAATCACTTGGCATTTACTTTCAGCATTATTATAGTATGACGTTGTTTTTGGTACCTTTGGTACGATTTTGGTACCTTTGGTATGCTTTTGGTACTTATGGTACGCTTTTGATACCTTTGGTACGCTTTCGGTATTTTTTTTGTATGACATTGCTTTTGGTACTGTTGGTACACTTTTGATATTATTGTACTTTAGAAATTTTTAGTTTGCTTTTAGTACTAATGGTACTCTTTCATAACTTTTTTGTTACTTTTAAACTTTTTTATTGTATTATTTAGCAATTTTGTGATAAAGCTTCAAAAACTGGTTTACAATTTTAAAAATAATTTTCAAATTGATTATTGAATTTTAACATTTTTACAACACTTATTATGAGCTTTGATATTGTTATTACTTCTTTGTTCTCTCGAATAAACTCTTGATGTTTAATGCTTTATGTGGCGGTTGTTTTCTCGAAAAAACACTCGGCAGAAGTAAACATAAGCCAAAATATTCGCGACAGCAAGCGGCTGAATATTATTTTGCTTTAGGGGAAGAAAAACACCTTATAACCCCTACTAACCTACTATATGAAGAATAGTAGGTTAGCGGGTGGATAAGATGTTTTTGGTATAAAAATGGTTATTTTAGATATATGGTTGATAAAAAAATGTAAATACAATAGAACTACTGTATAACAAATTGCTCAGAGATTTTAAATTTATTTGTTATACGACAGTTTTAAAGGTACTGTGTAATGTTTGTCGTGGGATCAAAAGTTGATTGTTATAAAATAGTTTTGTTATACAGGGGTTTTGCATTCACTATCTAGTGTTGCCCGACGTTTTGAAAATTTTCGTTGTACAGGAGTTTTGTTATGGAAGACTTAAGTGAAATTTGATTGTAAAATACGTGTTGTAAGCTTCATGTAGCAAAATATGTTGTTTTTGATATATAACTGAGGTTTCATATAACGAATTAGACATCAACAAGAGTCAGCTATGTATTACACAGCAGCTATACAGCTGTTTGTTATACAGAAGTTTCAGTGTAAACTAGATTTTAACAAGAGACAACTGCAATGGAACTTTTGTATAACAAAATTTCCGTATGACGTTTTTTAAATCTATGGTTAGCCAAAACTCCTTTATAACGCACAAATTTAAAACCCCCATTGCTTGTTCTCTTGTAATTTATTTTTAATTTTTTTTCAAAATGGCATTTTCAGCCCATGTACTTTTTATGAACAATTGTGTTTAATTAAAAAAGTAGTTGCCATAGTTTCAAGAACACAAATTGTCTATGTTTAGAACAAAAAACGTGCCATTTACATTTGGTATTCATTCGTTTTGTTTTCTTTCTTCTTATATTACAGTTGTTTTTTGAGAGCAATTTTGAAAAACAAACCAAAATTTAAGAATTTGCTTGAGTTTACCTACTTTTCAAAATCATATTTATGTAAATAATTTTTATTATCTATATCATATTTATTTCAATCTCGTCATAAGCAACTTTAAAAAAAATTTTTTTAAATAATTTTTGTAATTCAAAAAATTCCATCGTTTGATAGAAAACAAACGTCTGGTCTATGACTGTGTATTGATGAGTATATATGACTAACTTTAATCTATTTTTCCAAAAGCTTACAATATAAATAAGGCTGATAAAAGATGATCTCTAGTATTAGGAAAACACTTTTTTTTTAAATTGAGACATTGTTTACAAGTGATAAAAAGGGGTGATAAAAATGTTGTTATGATGGTTCTGACTATAATATAGTTGGTTTTAGTCCGGTTAGTTTATACTAGGTTGTTCAAATCATTCTGTGCCCCCTTTCAAAGCAAATTTGATAGGTTAGAAGGCATAGAACTATTTGAACAATCTAATAGTCGATTTACAGTGCCGTATATATGGAATGTAGTGCATTTTGGTTGACAATAGTAAATGTTTTGCTTCATAAATTTATTTTAGAGATAGTATGCGCCAACATTATTAAGTGAACTGTTGGCTATAAGCTCCCTTATCATTATAATTAATGATTGTAACGAGAGAATACTACAGTGTAACTTTTGTATACCAAAACTACTTTATAACGAACAAATTTAGAAGCCCCAAGCGAATCGTTATACATAAGTTCCACTTTATTTCCTCGAGCTATTTGTTATACGTTCTACTTGATTTTTAAAAAATTGTCGAACTACTTCACCATGTTGTTATTGTCGCTTGTCCTTCATATTATTCCCTAACCAAAACCGCGGCTTATGTAAAACTGGGCGATCTTTCTTTCTTGGGCCTTGCCTTGTCCCTCTCCCCCCTCCCCCCGTTGCCTTTTTATCAGCCAGCCGCGACGCGAGGGATTTTTTCCTCATTTCGATTCCTTTCTTTCTTATTTCAGTTATTCCGAAATGTGTCGCTGCTTGCTCTTGATTTTGTGTATTCTACTTCCAGTAAGTCACATTTACATTACTGTATTACAATTTAGTTTCAAAAAGATTACTGTAAATGGCAGTTTTAAGTTTTGGTGGTATTGTTGGGTGTTTATGGATTGTTTTCAAATTAAGGGTTTACTGGGAGAGGGAAAAGCGCGTGACTTTGGCCTGAGGGCTTTCTATGGAACAAATATGTCAAATTTGGACAGCTGGAAAAGACCGAAACTGGTCTTTAGCCTTTAAACTGGAGTTTTAGAATTAAAAATTTGAAAAAGGCAATTTTAAAATTAAATTTCAATTATAATTTTTTAAATTATTTTAAATTGTTAGCTAATTATTAATTTAAAACTTAAACTTTTAGCTTACTTCTGACTATCATTTTGATTGCTTAGCTTAAATATTTACGTATAAAGGCAGTTTTTAAAAACTAAGGTTTTTCTTCTAAAAACGAGATTTCTAGCCATGAAAAATAAAGTTCAATCTTAGATGGACAGACAGTTCAAACCCTTTAAAAATACAAAAAAAAAGATAAACAGGAAATCAGTTATTAAGTTGTCGTGGTAACTGCATAAATTTGCTGACATAAAAACACTGTAAAATATAGTGAAGCGACTCGTACTTTTGTGACCATTTGTGCTTTTATACCTGTAAAATAACTTTTTAGACAATTTTTGAAAAACAAAAACATTCGAAAGGGAAAATTAAACAAGTTATTAGGTTCTTCAAATAATTTTGTGCCTCGCCTCAAAGGAAATTTTTTGAGTTAGGGGGCGCAGGATTATTTTTAGTTACAGTCAGGGCCAGGCGCGAGGGGGGGGGACGGGGGGGGGGTACTCCCCCCCCCCAAAAAAAATTTTCGAAAAAATTTGAACGTGGTCTCCCCCTGTGGATTTTCGGAAAAAAAATTTTCGCAAAAAATCGGCACAGGTAGCTAGCTACCTGTGCCGATTTTTCGGACCCCTGCCCCCAGACCAAAAGTCCCCGCCCGGCCCTGGTTACAGTTATAAGGCTTTTGGTGCTGTTTATAATATATATTTTTGGTACTATTGAAAAAATAGTCCCAGAAGCATTACCATTTATAGAACGTCAGTATTTAAAAATTTATTATTCACCATAAAAACCTAACCTCAGGTATTAAAAGTATACTATTTGAAAGCCACATAGCCTTTTAGGTTCATAAAAACTAGTTTTATAACGTCATTTATAATAAAAAAACGTAAATATCAGTCATCTTTGGGGTTTTGCATTTTGATGATTAAGTCATACGAAATTTGGTCTCCAAACATATGATTGGAATTTTAAATCAAAATATTTTGAATCAACATCCTTTTCAAAGAATGAAATTAACACAATAGCTCATTAAAGCAACAATAAAAATTTTTTTAATTACAAATAAAACTTTTGATTTGTAATTTATTACAGTAATTTGTAATCATTTTTTAAAGTTTTTGCTTTAAAGTAATCACTAACAAACTTAGACCTTCACGTATTTTACAATTTTCAGCCATTGGCCGTGCTGATTGAAACCGGATGCTCAGTTCACTTCCTGATCAACATTATCCTGTTCATTCTAGGTTTAATACCGGGTATAATTCACGCCATCTACGTGTGTTTCTACAACTCCGGTCGGTAGAAGGCTTCTGACTCGTCAGAAAACTGTTTTTTTTGCCATTTTTGAACAAAACTTTTGTAAACTAACTAATAACGTTGCTTTTATGTTCACGTAACATACGATTATTGTTTAATAAATAATTGTTTCTTTCTATTTTGATGAATATTTCTATATGTATATAAATATTCTTGCTTTAGTACGGAAAAATTATTGTCACAAAGTTAGATTTACTTTTGTACTGAAGAACGACAAGTGTTTTTTGATGCTATAGGGTACAATTTTAATATTTTTATGAAAACTACATATTATTAAAAATCTCATTAGAAATAAGGGTTTTTACATTACAGTGTTAGTAACTAAATATAGTACTTTTATTGGTACAAGCAAAGTAGATAAAAATATATACATATATACAACACTAGAAGCTACAATAAATAAAAATATGTACAGTTAACAATCTTAACTAAAACTTCTAAGCTCTACTGGTTTCCAAATCATCGATGCTGCAGGCTGACATCATGTTTTCTAGCCTTGGGTTTAGCATCACGCTGCCTTGGCACAGTCCACTTTCATACATGGCTATATTCATAAGGTCGTGCGTGTTGTTCAAGTAGTTGTAAACTTTATCAAAGCTACATTCAGTGGGCTGTCCGGTCAAAGTGTCGTTCTGTAGATACGATTTATTTTTTTGATATCGTACTGTGTCGTTAATGTTGCTTTGAACGTAATCACTGTTCTCAGAAAAATTACTGTAGCTTCCCGTACCAAGTTGTATACGATGAGCCCGCCGTTCTTGAGGTTTGTTTAAAGCTCGTTGTGTAGAAGCAGCGTTAGATGTAGCTTCCAATGTAGCGTCGTACTGTGCTGCCCTTAACATTTTTATTTCCATGTGAAATGCGTTAATGTCTGCTTTTGCAAAGGCACGATTTGGAACGGCCTTTAAGGAGCGGTTTTCACCAGATGTAGTTCGCAAGGCACGGTGAGCGTCTTTGAGTTGCACAACTTTGTAATTGCCATCTGGACCGGTAAAGGTTTCATCCAAACGTAGATTTGAGCCGTCCAAGCAAACGTTCTTAGCACTGTAGAAAAGCTTTTCGTCTGAATACACTGGGCATTCAGGTTCAACAAAAGTGACGTTATTTTCTTCGGGTCGGCTTGAGTTGATGTAGCTTTCACTCGATGATGAATCATAGTCGGCAAGGTGGACATACTGGTTGGCCAGAACACCATCAGCTGGTTTTACTGCACGTGGAGTATTGTAGTTTATTGGTTGAAATAGTTGCCTTTCTTGTGAGTACTGTGCTTCGTCCATAGCTCGATTTTGGTGTCTTTCGGCTGCATTCACATTTCTTATGTTTTTGTAGAGTCGAGGTGTGCGTTGACCATCAAAAACAGGCATTTCATGAAGAATGTATTCATTGTCGTAGATGACATTAAAGGATTGCGATCCTTTAACATTTCTTACTGTTTTCTGTTTGCACTCTGCAACCCGCTTTTTGTGCAATTCAAATGCCTTTCTTGCCTGTTCTTGTTGTCGTTTGATAATTTCATCGTCGCGTTTATTGGTCTTCTTGGCAACTTTAGCTTGTTGTTTGGGGGTGGATGCCGGTAGATTGCTGTAGTGTTCAGAATCTGAACTTTTCTTGTCTGATGACGGTTTTGAAGTCTTCTTTTTTAATGATTTTGTTGATTTTTCGTTTTTTAGCATTACTTTACACATTTTCTGAAAAAGACAGATTGTCAATAAAAAATATAAAAACTATGGAGTATACCTAGCTACAAATTCAAAAAAAACATTTCCGATTTTTTAGAGAAAATATGTTAAAAATTGACAGAGATATGACCTTCGCCGACTTTCTCCGCCGATTTAAACCCCAGTCTTTGTTCGGTAAAAAATAATTGAGTTTGAGCGGAGTTACAGCCTTCGCCGATTTTCTCCGTCGACGCGGAGAAATTTTTTTTATTTACAAAACAAGTTTTACGCGTGGTAGACGGGGCGGGCTTTCTATGGGCCGGGCTAAGCTTAACCAAAGAAAAAATGACACGGGCCGGGCCCGATTGCCAGGTCTAATACCGAGACATTTTTTTACGAAAGTTGCTAGTTCAGACTTCAAAAATATTATTTTTTCAATTAAATTTCATTATTTTATTATAAATTATTAAAAGCATATTTTATACTAACTGTAGGCTGAATAATTAGTACAATGTAAAACGCTATTTAGTAATAAGTTCATAAACCTACCTCCAATTTATCGTAGTTTTTCTTCAACTCGGCGTACTTGGCGTTCAGCTTCTCATTCTTCTCCTTTTCCTTTCTCAATTCACTCTTCAAGCCATAAATTTGAACTTTGTAGTACTGAAAATAAATAATATTAGTTACTTTATCTAAATTATGTTTTTAAAATGTATTTTTTTTCAATTTAGCACTATTTTTTCATAAACAAAAAAATATCTCAAGTTTTTAAAAAAAAGATACATTAAGAATAGTAGGACGGACTGGGCATAAGTAGTATCTTACCAACGTGCTTATTGCCGACATTTTAGTCATCTATTAACAACAATATAATACGAAATATAAGACTGAATTTGTATAAAAACAATGAAAAACTTTTAGCTCAACGATTGCTAACAGAAAACGTCGCAAAGTTAGCTGACACTGGCACTGGTTACTATCCACTGAGTCAAGTTTGGTAAAAAGAGGCTGGTCAAACAATATGTTATAACAAAAACATGGCATAAGCCTTAGAAAATGTTATTACAGTCCTATTTACCACAAGATATCACCAGTGTTGCGCCACAAACTTCTTAAGGAGGGTTTTATAACTTCAGTCTATAAGATGGCTACGAGGGAAACACCAACAGATTTACAGAGTGAGAAAGGTTAGGCGGTGGGAATAACATTGAAACAGATACTACTGTTTTATATTAAGTTATACAATATACTCTCATTTAGTATTGGGTGAGTTATTTTGTTTTAAAATTAACGAAAACAAAAAATTTTTAAAGGTTTTCTCTACCCAAAATTTTTTTTTAAGCTAAGTCCTCCCCCCCCCTCCATGTTTTTTTTGTTTTTTATGTTCAAAAAATACTATACTATATCCCAAAATATATTTTTACTCTTTTCCCCTCTCCCTCATAGGCTAAAATATCACACCTTTATCACAATACTCATTGTCGCAACAAATAATTTTAAAAAACCAATTTACATCTTTCCTTCCTCTGGTGTAGTCCACAGCTCTGCTCAAATACACCACTTTGTCCTGCAAGGTCGTGTTGTGGCTTGAATTGAACACTTGGGCTTTGTCAACTTCGGTATTTCCATAGTCAACTGATCTAGAAGAAGGGTTTTTTTGTACTCCACCAACGACTACAGTTTCTTCACCATCACTGGAGTCATCGTCCTTAACACATGTGACAAAGCCTTCCATGCTCGATTCTGAATCGTCCTCGAATCCTACTGTAGACGCTCCAAAATAGGTTGGGGATGGGTTGAGTTCAGTTCGGTTGTCGTTGGCTTCTTCTTCGGCTTTAGCTTCATTCACAGTGACTTACGATGAAATAAGTTTAGAAGTTAACTAAAATTTGATAATAATTTTTGAAAAATAGAAAATTTTTAAAAATTTTGTTTTAGAAATTTTTAATCTTAAATAGTGCTTTAAACTTTAAGTAGTATTGTAAACTTACTTTTTTAGTTTGCTCTCTTCTGAAAACACTGGTGAAAAACTTGGTAGCTCTCATGTTTTCAAGGAGTTTTGGGTTTGAAGATGTAATTTAAATCTAAAAATATACAACTAATTAGTATACAAACATTTATTTTATTTTTGCACCAGCTCGTTCTGTTGCCCTTGCTTCAATAATAACAAAACATATAGTAATAGTAATAGTAATACAAGATAACAACAATATTTAATTTTTTACAACAAACGGTAATAATATAAAGACTCTAATAAAGTCTTGTCGCCAATTTTTATTATATATGAACGTTTCAGAACGATAAAACTTTATTATTTCACAAAAGCTTTTCAAAATTTCTTGGTTGACTTTTTTTACCACAAAATTATATGTATAAAGTAGCTATAACAGTTGATCTAGAATGAAAACTTTAATATTTAAAAAAAATACAAATCTCATATCACCTATCTCATTCATCCTTGAAAGACATACTGAAACAATTCCAACAAAACCGAATTTATATGCCCAGAAAGCGTCGGATTCTTGGAATGTATCAGTTTCGAAAGATCAAAGTAATTAAGCTTCTATACTACATCAAAGAGAGTATATTAACTGCCGATAACTTGCGGTAAATAGTGCCGGTGGATCTTATTGATATATTGAGATCTCTAACCAGTGCCAGTTCAAAGAATCGTTGCGTAATCATAATTTTACATTCGGTAGAAAATTAGTTGGTTTGTGGGAATCGGTGGACAATCGTTTGTTGTTGGTATGTAAAAGGAGTTTGAAGCTCATACTATAGAGAAGATACCACAATGAGTAACTTCAATTTTTATTTAAATCTTGAGAATATGAAGATTTCAGCTTCTATTTTTACAATGTCGTATATATCAGCTATTAGCCAAAGATTTAAAAAACAAAGTAACTTTTCTCTTTTTTGAACAATTTTTTATATTTCAAAGAGATACGCCGACACAAAGATGTTTAGTAATTCAACAGAGGACAAAGTAAATTTTTAACGTTTTTGGTGGTATATAGGTTGTGTCGTGGATACTGTAAGCTTTACAGTAACAAATCTTTAAAATCTTCTTTTTAGATTATATTGAGCCAATTACATAGTATACAGACTCTACTCTATTTTAACATTTTTTACCTTACTTTCACTATCTTTAACTTACTTTTTCATACTTTACTCTAGCTTACTATACGGTAATTACTAATTACCTCCAAGTTTACAATGAAAATAATTTGTATTTACTCAAGTTACAACTCCAACAATATTTACTTCAATACACGAACAATGACACTAGTTGGTCGTTCTTCGGTTTCTGGGGCAGCAGTCACGTTGACTGGTTGTTCTACGCTTGGTTTGGATGAAGAATGGCCTCTTGGATGGAATGGTCGTCGAGAAGCTGGTGGACCACGTGGACTGGGACGGTGATGTTCTTTGGGTTCTTCCTTCTTTTCTTCATGTTCTTTCTTGTGTTCTTCATGTTCTTTTTTGTGTTCTTTATGTTCTTCCTTCTTTTCTTCATGTTCTTTCTTGTGCTCCTCATGCTTCTTTTCATGTTCTTCATGCTCAACCTTCTTATCGTCGTGCTTTTGTTCATGCTTCTTTTCTTCAGCTTCATGATGTTTCTGTTCTTTATTGTGTTCTTCTTCCTTTTTGTGCTTCAATTCATCATGCTTCTTCTTATCATGTTCCTTTTCTTCATGTTTACCGTGCTTCTTTTCATGACTCTCCTCCGATTCATCCTCGTGGTGTTTCTTCTCTTCATGATGCTTCTTATCACCATGTTTCTTTTCATGACTATGTCCTACATCTTCTCCATTTTCCTTTTTGTCATCGTGCTTTTTGTGATGCTCGTCGTGACTATGTTCATGTTCCTTTTGGGCGTGCTTGTTTTCATGATGATATTCATCTTCATGACGATGTTCTTCGTGATGACTAGCTTTGTGTTCTCCAGACCATTCATCAGATTCAAAACTGTGCTTCCACTTCTTGTCATGAGGATTGTTATGAATGTCATGATGATGAGATGGGTCTTGGCAGCTTTCTTGGTGTTCTGAAAATAACACATTGGTTAAAATTAAAAAGATTTTGAATTTTTACACTTCAGAATTTAGATTCTAAAATTATAATTATTAAAAACTTTTTGCTAGCTACTTGCGTAGAATCTTACCGTGATGTTCTGGTAAGCCACGATGCTCTGGGAAACCATGGTGTTCTGGAGATTCATGGTGCTCTGGGAATCCATGGTGTTCAGGGAACTCATGGTGCTCTGGGAATCCATCTCGACCATCTTTTTCGTCAAATTTGCCTCCGAAATCAAACTTCTTCTTCAGTTCTTCAACATGCTTCTTTGACATTCCCTCTGCTCTGTGAAGCCAGCCTTTAAAGGCGTTTCTGAATTCGCCGTTCTTGTCTTCATGATGGACATTCTCAACATGTTCACCATTTCTAGTACAGGTGCAGTCCAAGTTGGTGAAGAAGCTCAAAGGCTGACCATGGGCAACCTTTGGTTTACAGACACAGTGAAGATCATCGTCACTGTGAGCTTGTGGGTTAGCGTGGAAGAAGCCTTCTGGATGACCGTGAGAAAGAGCTTCTGGGTTAACGTGGAAAGGAGCTACTGGTTTAGAAGCGAATGGATTAAAGCCGAATGGAGCTTGATGTTCTCCACTGTTGATCGGATGAACAACAACGAATGGACGTGGACGAGAAGGCTCATCAGAAGCCCCAATTGGTTTAACAACGACAAATGGGTTCTGTATAATATGAGGGGGAAGAGCTGGGATACGGTGTTCTGGCGATTCTGGCTTTTTAGAAACACTGTGATTAACTGGACTGTCGGTAGAAGCTTCTGGCTTCTTTGGCAGTCCATGGTGCTGAAAAGTGTCCTCCTTTGGCTGTTCATGGTGCACAGAGTTGTCCTTCTTTGGAAGTTCATTACGAACAGAACCTTCTGAGACACCGTTATGTACTTCAACTTGTGGCTTCTTAGCTGGACCATTAAAGGGTAAAATGTGGAAAACTTGTTCATCATCGTGCTTGGCTACTGGATTGTGCTTTACTTGTTGATGAACAGATTGTGTGAAGTGAGTTTCAACTGGTTTGTGAACTGGCTTTACAGTTGGTTTAGCCGGCTCTTCTTTACGGAATGGCTCTCTTTCTGGAACATGGTGAACATAAGGGTAGCCTTCGTCAGAAGATTCGTCTGAAAAACAGTTTTTATATGTTTTAGGTATTAAATATAGATTTAATAGTATTAATGTTTACAATAATATTAATTGTAATTAATAAATAGTAAAAAATCGATGAATATAAGTAAAGATTCGTTATAATTCTTAATTTAGTCATAATTAACGTTTTAAAACATAGTAAATTTACTCAAATTAAACATACCACTGTCTCCAAAAGCTCTCTTGATTTCATCCTTGATCTCTTTGATCCATTCAGCTGGTTTAGATAGCCTAATCACCGGAGTCCTAACATCACCATCAACAGCTTCATGAACTTCGGCTGATACCTGATGTTCTTCAGGCAATTCCGGGAACGCAGTTTGTGCTGCCACTAAAATTTTTTATTTATTATAAACTGCTGTTAGTTACACCTCAGGTTTACAGCAAATTTATTTCTGATTATCATAATATAAGGCCGATAAATTCCTTTTTTATTTTAAACAAGTAAAACAACAGCAAAAAACAAAAAAAAATTACCACATCCAACCACAAAGGTTAACAATAACATTTTCATTGTTAAATTGAACAACAAACGGTAGCTGGATGTTCCTTAAAAAGGTTGCAAACCAACAGACGTACAAACATTGTACCAGTTCACAAACATACGTCAATTTGTGTTTGTTCAGCAACGTTTTACATAACTCGACTTGTAAAAAACAGTGAAATCTTCATACATTCCAAGCGCCTGACCTCGTATTCGTTGCATTTTGATGTAACGAGTGACATTGTGATCAAACAGGTTCACATTTCATGTTTTTGACTTCATACTGCACAGCACAAATATGTTTCCAGCTTAATGCTCTATAAATAATATACATATCTCAAATTAAACACAAAACCTAATATCTTTACACTCCAAAATAATATTTATAGATAAATATGATCATAAAAAACAAAAAAGGACAAATTCGAATCAGAAAACTAATTTATTTAATCTCATAAACACCTATAAGTATTCATAGTTAATGACAATACTCAAAAATTAATCGGAAATAATTATTTCTCAAATTTATAATAAACATGACAATATTAGACGATAGATTAAATATTGATTTATTGGTTCTCCTCCACCAGTTTCTTGAAGTTAGTAGCATCTGTGTCCTCCTTGAAGCGGCAGATCAGCACCACGCACTCGCCATCCGGTTTCTCATCGACCTCTGAAAAGTCGTTACAGCTCCATACCAACGTATCTGATCGTCCCTTCTTGTAATCCACGGTGATCCCCTTGATAGCGAAATTGGCACACAACTTCAGCACTTGTTCTCTTCTCATCACACATCGTACGACTCCAGATTTGCGGTTCTTCAGCAAACGAATGTCACCAACTCCTCGTTCCTTGACTTCCTTGGTTTGAGGATCGAATCGGTAAAGCTTAGCTCTCGAATTGAATAAAACATCCTCGTCTTCCTCACCAGTCTTCACTTCCACAATTTCAGGCAGAGCAAAGTGTTGCTTTTTAAATTGAGAATCATCAGGTTGAAATGCTTCTGGCTCGTCTTCGTTCGCTTCCTCATTACCTTCATTAGCCCGAGGAGGAAACACAGCGAATCTCCTTGGATCAACCTGAAACAAAATAACATTATGAGTAGCCATAACATGACTAGTTTAGTAAGGAAAATTGAATATAAACCTAAAATGTCTAAGCAAAAAGTTTTTCTCTCTATTCCCTACCTGGAACGAGAATGAGTTGTCTTTTCCAGCCAAGAACGATGTTCCAGAAGTATTTTGACTTACGCTTCCAAATGTCAATCCACCTGTATTGCCACCAAACAAGGAAGGCTTTGGGCTGTCGGTAGTACTAGACTGGCTCTGGTTAGCACTAGAAGGAGTAGCAAATGGCTTGAACGAGAAGCTGCTTGAAGTATTCTGAGACGAGTTGATTCCTCCACCAAAGACCGAGCCTGCTGGCTTGGGAGTAGAAGTTGGGGTGGCTGTTGCTGGAGTTGTCGTCGGTGTAGCAGCGTCAGTAGATGGCTTAGCAGCGGCTGGGGTCGTCGCAGCCGTAGTGGCAGGTTTGGCCAATCCAAATGAAAATCCAGAAGCAGCGTTCGAGACTGCTGGAGCAGTGAAAGAAGAGGGTTTAAAGGCTGGGGCAGCTGGTTTGTCGCCTGGAGCAGCATCCTTAGGTAAGTTACAGCATGGGCAGACTGTCTTGTCAGCTGCATTTCTCACGTAACATCCTTTGCAGTCCCATTCACCTGCCTTCTTGTTGAATTGATCTCCAAATCCTCCAGTTGGCTTTGGTGCTGCTGGTTGTTGAGCCGGCGTTGGCTTAGAAACAGCTGGTGCTGGGATTGGCTTTGGCTCCTGCTTAATAGCCGATACAGGTACAGCAGCAGGTACTTGTTGTGGAGCTTGGAAAATAGGCTGAGCTGGCTTTTCAACCTTAGGAGCAGCGAAAGATTGAGACACAGGTTGTTGCACGGCCTGCTGGAAGATTGGTTGCTGTGGCTGAGCTGGACGATTTTGAATAGAAGCCATTGGCAATTGAGCAGCTGAAGCAGCGGCTTGATATCCAGGTTGTTGCATTTGAGGAGCCATCATTGGCATACTGGCCATGGCATTCTGGTTGCTCAAGCTGAAAGTAACTTAACGTTTAAAAATTGTTAAAAACATAAAAATCTAAGCATAATCCAATAAGAAAAAGATTATAATGATAATTTAAGTACGATGTTACCTAAAAAAGTTAAAATATTAACTTACTTATTCAAGAGACCAAAAATAGACTGTTGCTGAGCAGCAGCTTGAGCCTGGATCGTTTGATTCTTCATTTGCGTTTGCAAAACCGTCTCCAACAGACCAACCAGTCGAGTAACTTCACGTTCATGACTATCACATACAGATCTTTGAACACCATTCTGTAAATTAACATTAACTTTCTTCATAAAACAATAATTAGTTATTTTAAAACGTGTTAATATGCTCGATACCTATACAAAGTTGCTCTAAACACTAAAATTTTCTGTATTCTACTACTTGATAAAAAAGTTATAGAAAATAATTGTCCTCAATATCTTTGACAAATTTAAAATATATGAAACTTCCAGAATAGTTACTTACCATTGATGCGGTTTGAGACTTTCCTTCAATGTTCAACTGACTCAAGCTTTGTTCAATTCTAGCCTAAAAACAAAATATATACCCATGAACAATATAACTTACTATTTTAGCATCCATTTGAGCATGGGAGGTTATGACCGTCTTTTGAAGGGTAAGATAATGTTCGGTAAACGTCTTCAGAGTGTCTTCGAACCTCTGAAGGAGTCTTTCGGCATTCACAGTTGGGTCAGCCATTGTAGTTATCAATCTATAACAATATAAGTATAAATAGGCAAAACTATAAGCAATATCGAAAAAATATTCACAAAATATCACGAATAAAGTTCAGTAGTACTCAAAGCCTTTTTATAGAAATATAAACGATAAAGATTTCTAAATCATCAACAAAACCCAAAGAAACAAAACTTTTCAAATGGGCACATAAAAGATGTTCCGCAAAAATTTATCGATAAGCCAACGCAAGTATTACCTATAATAATATGCCTTCACCACCTTCTGCTAGAAACTCTTTCGAAATGGTCGGTCGCAGCGTGCTCTACAATTTTACCGCCTATTTTTTCCGGGGAAACTTTATACGATGAACCGCTTTTGCTCTCGCAGCGAAATCAATTCTTGGTCTTCTGTCTCAATTTCTGATTTATTCGAGACAGATTTTAGATTAAAATTTTTATTTTGTGGCAATTTTATGCCATTTTGGCTCTAGACTTTAGGTTTTTTGGGTAAAAAAATATTTCCAAATGAATTTTTGCTTTCATTAGAACTAAAACATATGTTATTATAGGTGCGATGGCTGCGAATCTACCTCCCAAAGAACAGCAAAAAATTGTGGAAGGCTTCAAGGTGTTGAGAGAGAACCAACAGGTCATTCTTGCTGAAATCAGAAGATACACACACGAACTGCGTGAGGTGAAGTAAGTTTTGTAGCTTTTTTTTGATTTTAGGTGGAAAATGACATTATCTTTGGTTTTGGATGGTTTTGTGGTATGAGAGGTGTAAAAACGGCATTATGCATCATTTGTGCTAATGAAGAGTTTCATACTTTGTAAAAATGTATTCTTTAGCGTTTTTTATTTGTTTACATGTAAGGATCTTAAGTACTTGCTTTTTTAAACTTTATAAAGCTTTGTTTGGCTTTAATAGCTAATATTTACATGTTTAGAAGTGTTCTGGCAGCGTTAGGACGATGGGACAACACAAGCAGAAAGTTCTACTACAGATGTGTTGATGCTTTGTTAGAATACGACGGTCCATCGATGGAAAAGAAGTTGAAGGAAGTGATTGTTGAGGTATCGTTTATATATTTTTAAAATGAACTTTTACTTTAAATTTTTTATGTCAATAATTATCATCGGGGTCAAGAAAATGTATAGTTAAATTAATTTTTAAAAACATAAGCTTAACTTTTATAAAATAAAAAGTACTTTGATGTACAGTTACTGATAATGGAATGTTTCAGTTGGAAGAAAAGATAAAGGAAGGAGAAGAAAACCTGAAACTGAAAGCAGTCGAACTAAGAGATTATACCGAAAAACATAAAATTAGATTTGTTCCTCAATAGTAAATAGGTCTACACCATATTTTGTTATCAACGCCAATCCAATCTCTGCTTATCGTTTGTTTCGTTTTAACATCTTGTTAAATTTGCATACAACAATAAAAATTTAAAAGCTAACGGGATAGGTAATGTTTCAAACTATAGAGAAGGTGGTATGACAAATCTATGTATAAAATCAAAGTTTTATCAAAAATAGACATGAGCAACGGGCCGGGCCCAATTTTCAAGCCCGGCCCGCGGGTCGGGCCTAAATTTTAGGCCCGGCCCGTTTTTGATTTTGGTCAGGCCCGGCCCGATCAGAAAATTTCTCGGCCCGGCCCGTTTTAAAAAATTTGAAAACTTAAAAACTAAACGGAAATTTGGCTTTAAATTGTTTTTTTAGGTCATTTATGGATCATAGAATCCAATAAAATCGAAAAACATAAACGGGAATTAAAATAAAAAATTTTAAAATTTTTTTTTCGGGCCCGGGCCCAATTTTCAAGCCCGGCCCGCGGGCCGGACCTAGATTTCAGGCCCGGCCCTTTGCTCATTTCTAATCAAAAAACTAGGTACGAATTAAGCTTTTATTTAAAAGTCATATACTTATTGTACTTTGACTTTAAAAGACTATAACTCAAAACAAAATTATTGTAAATTTAAAAAAACAATAACAAGGTGCAAGAGGTTTGTTAAGTGTAAAATAATTTGTCAAATATCTTGTTATGAAACAGCTGTGGCGATGATGACCACTGAATTCAGCGCTTCGATGAACGACGTGACTTTCTTTTTTCTTTCCATCTAATTCTTATCATTAACTCCCGAATTCCAATAATTTGATATCTAATTGTCTAATAATTAAATGAATTATGACCAAACAGCTGCAGTAAGTTTTTTTTTCATTTTTACTTGCTTTTAAACTTTAAAAATGATTTTAAGAGGGTTTTCGTACTGTATTTATTGCCGTATTAAGTAATGCCGTGCACGGATTTACTAAATGCGACTTTGTTTAGCTACAATGAAGTTTTTTTTTCTACATCTTTAATATAAACTTACTTTTTTGTCTACAAAAACGTTTGAAAATGTCAGTTTTAAGTAGTAAACAGTTATATTTTGCCTAAGGGATTAAAGAGCAAAAGTTTCGCGGACTCGTACGGTTTTAGAAATTTTAATTACTCACAAATTGTTTATGTTTCTTTAAACTTAAAAACTAAAAGTAGGCTTTGTCAATTAAGCTGGTGGAAGGCACTCTTTTATTGACTTATTTTCTCTATATGTGTATATTCATACTGTAATGACTTTTGAGTACTGTGAAATTTTAAAAGCTTTTTATGGTTGTAAAGCTAGAGTTTGGTAAGAACTTGTTTTTAAAAGCGCTTTAATTACAGTAGTAAGGTATGGTGAATGTCATAGTGGATTTTTTTTCAAAGCAATTATATTATAGTTTAGGCATTTTTTACAAATTATAACCCTCAAATACAAGCTTACAAAATAAATATTAACCCACTCCTTTAGTCCTTCAACATCGTTTAAGTTACTGTACTTTTCTTATTTCTTGTCATGTTTCAACGACCAGTTATGGGCTTTTGCGATGATTTTTATGCTTGAACATCTTGGTAGTCTACGGCTGATTGGCGTAAGTCAGCTGGTAGAAAATACATTGCAAATGATGGCTAGTGCATTCATCGGAGGATGGATGAACAAGCATTCGAGAATTTATGGTATGTTACGGTATTTTTACTTTATAGGCTATCAGGTGATGTATTTATGTAAAATATAGTATCTATTTCACAATCATATCTTTACATATCAATCCTATAATGACAAATTTAAATAATATTAGGTGGTTCACATAATTCTGTGTTACCCAACTTTGAAAATTTGCTTTGAGAGGAGCACAGAATTATTTGAACAACCTAATATAAAGTAGGTGGACCTTTTGAAGAATTCATGATTTTCAGCTACACTGTCAGTACTAGCGTTGAACAACTTAGCAGTAACACTATCAGCTTCTTTGCTGATAACATGTATGTTAATAGTAGATGATCATCCTTCTTTATATATTGCATGTCTAGTACTATCGATTCTGTTTGGGGCTGTATCAAAATGTGCTTCAGAAGGCGAAGAAATGGCATTTACAAAAGATTGGATTGTGGTTATGACTGAGAAGGAGGGAACTGATGCTTTGTCTTGTAAGTATAACACTATATTCATATAAATATACCAAAATAAAATATTTTTTTTGTAAATACATTTTAAAGTTTACTGACAATTTTAATACTAACTAATCAACCAAATTACTATTTTTGGGTAAGAACGCGACGTTGACTATAATAAGCCATGTTACCGCTGTCATTACTCCGCCATTAAGTGCCTATATGTTGGTGAGTATTGGGTACATCAATGCATCAATAGCATTTATACTATGTAACGTTGTCTCATGGTTTGTGGAGCGACAAATGTTCATCATAATATACGATAATGTGCCTGAATTGCGAGCTAAACACAAAAGAAGTAAGAGTTTAAAGTTTGATTATAGGTGTTTATGGTGTTTTACTTGCTAAAATTGGTTATTCTATCATGATTTTGTTGTTTCCTTTAACATTTTCGTGGCCGGACCAAAAGGGTTCTTTATTTTTTTAATGTAGTAGCCAGTGTTTTGCCGGACCGTTCCGCCTATGACTCATGTCCGGTCCCACATGAAAATGAAAAATTTTTGGATCGGTCTAATTCAATCTGGACCAGATTGAGATTTTTCCTGTCCGGTTTAACATTTTTTTTCATCCGGACTTGTTTGAAACGGACGCGCCTGTCAAAAGCGCTAATACTACTATTCCGTCATAGCCGTATTTTACTCAACAAAGTTGTATTTTTACAATAACTTTTATATTGTACTATATTATGTAACTTATTTAATTCTGATTGTATCTAATGGTATTTAGCCCCATCAATGCAAAAGCGTCGTCAAGAAGAAGAGAAAGAGTTATTGAAGTTAGCCGTAGGCCATAATGAGGTCGAATCGAGTTGGTTTAAAGATGTTGGTCGAATCTTTTGGAAACAGTCAATCTATCCAGCTGCGATTGGACTTGCTTTGATGTATTTTACTGTGCTCGGGTTTGATGGGGTAGGATTTTAAATATTGAACGTTTACTAGCTGAATTAAAAACTATTTATTATATTTTTATTTCGATTCTATGGCTTTTTATACTGCAACTTTAAAATTTTAGCCTTCTAACCAAGCTATTTTTGAAAATATTTTAAGAGATGACTTCAGGTTTCTAACTGATCCTGTAGCTTGTGTAAGGTCTTGTTAACGTGTCTAGCCGTTATCTTAAGTTTGATACCGTTTTTTAGATTCCAATAAGCTATGGTAAAGCCAATGGTTTGCCTGATGATATGTTAGGTCTTTTCAAAGGAGCAGCTAGTTTACTTGGTATTATTGGTGCTATTGTCTACACTCAAATGGAACAGAAGATTGGGTTACGAAAAACTGGATTGGTTGGAATGACTGTAAGGACTTTTATGGTTTTATCAGACTTGAAGGGGGGTCCGCTAAACCCGGCTTCGGTTTAGTCCGGCTCTGGGCAGAGCCGTTACATGTGGGCTTGAGGGCCGTGGGTTAAAGCAAGGCCGTAGGACCCAGAAAACGAGCACAAAGTGTAATAGTAACGTTTGTTTTCAGATACAACAAATTTCGAATGTATTTTGTGTATTTTCATTGTTTGCTGCAGGATCTTTGTTTACACCTAATGAGTATTGGAGCTCTTTTTCTACAACGGTATGTAAAATGTCATAACGATGTAGTTTGGTAATAATGATAGTCTTTTTTCTGATAATATTGAGTTAGAGCTCATGTCGATAACCCGAAAAGTAGCTACCCGAACAATCCCTACCCGAAATTACCATTGCCCGAAATATCCATTACCCGCAAAGCCCTTACCCGAAAAGACCAATACCCGAAACGTCCTACCCGAAAAGTCCTGCTCCCGAGCTCATGTCTATACAGTTCATACTTAAACTAACAATGCCAACTTAAGGAATGGCTAGCCAATTTCCGTTCAACCTTCGCTATTGAACGTGCTGCAAAACCAGTCATAAATGGCACAGAAGTCATTGAAACTTCCGAATTCCTGTCTGGAGTAGACTGGAGCACCTTCAAAGTTAACGGTCACCCAATGTACAGTATATTCCTCTTCTTCTTTGGAGTTACAATAGCTCGAGTTGGAGTATGGATAGCTGACTTGTCTATAACTCAGCTAATGCAAGAAAACGTGCTCGAAACGGAACGATTGACCGTGTTTGGAGTTCACACTGCCATATGTCAGTTCTTCTCGTTATGCAAGGATGTTTTGGTGATATTGTTCCCGGATTCCAGGATATTTGGAGCGTTTGTTTTGTTAAGTGTTATGACTGTAATGGTGGCGTATTTGCACTACTTGTACTATATGTGGAGGGTGAGTTATTGTTTACAATCTTATAGAAAATAGTGGTCATTCTGAAGGGTTCTGTTTACTTTTGAGCCGTTTTTTGAATTTTGAATAATTTTACATTGAAATTTTAAACTGTTTTGCCATTTACTATAACTTTTTGTAAAATTTTACTTTTTTAAGAATTTTTAATGTTGTTAATCGTTTTTAAAAGTGAAATTGATAGAAGTAGCTGTTTTTTTAAACACTAACTAACAGTTTGCTTTCAGACCAAAAATACGGATTTTGAATCAGTAGCTGCTGACACTACCGACTTTAAAGAACTCAATCTGCCGGAGCTGCTTTTTAACCTAGAAGTTGCTAAAAATTAGTATAATGTCGCTTAAAAATTACTGTATAAATTTCTATTTATAATGCAAAAAAGGTTTTATGTTACAGTATAGGAATCTTTTGAATTTGAGGTTTTTAATGGAGCCGAGTAGGCAGCTCAGGGGAATTGAATGGTGGGTAGACCTGAAAGGGGTCAATAGGCCCTGTCTGGAGTCGAGCCGGGTTGTGCCAATTTCGAAAGAGACTGGGCCAGAACGTGTGAGATCGAAGGCCGGACCAAAACATGAAGCCCCAGGGTCTCAGCTTAGGCTTCGAAACGAATTCTTAAATATTGGTTAGTATTTTAAAGATCCCTCTTGCCTTTTGTCTACAGGTAGAAGGTGAACTGTACATTAAAACAGATTTTGTTATTAGCAGTATGATCACATTTAACTTTGTTTTCACTTTTTTTTTCAGTAGAAATTTAAAAAAAAATAAAAAAAAATCTTCCCAACCCAGTACTTATTTTTTTAATTTCAAAGAAACTGCCAACTAACACTACATAAATTTTATTTTTGTTCGTAAAACTTTACAATTTGAAACGTAGAAACGATTACAAAAGCATGTTGCAATACGAAAACTAAGACGGTGGTTGATATTTCTGGTTGATTACAATAGATTTGAATACAGAAGGCAGGTGCTTAGCTCTTCAGACTTAATCCTTCGCTTCTTAAACAAGACCAATCGACAAATTATGTTATCCATCTAGTGGGTTCTTCTTAAATTTTACAGTTCTAGCTTACTATAAATTGAAGTTACGGTTTAAAAAGATACTTTATACTATGAAAAAGTACTGTAACTTGAAAAATGTTAATTTTCAGTAATTAGAGAAAAGTTACAGTAATTAGAGAAAAAGTTACAGTACGAAGAAGAGGCCACTTGTTGTCCCAGTTATAAGGTTTTTTCTTTTTTTTGGAATTTTCTCATTGTTTTGGTGTGATTTCTTCCTTAATTTCAACGATTTTCACAATCGAAAATCAGTAGAACATATGAATGTTTGCTTAGTTTGACTGTGAGTACAAGCTGTTAGACTTTAGTACAATATAGTACTGAAGCGGTTCTTGTTTGGGAGGAGAGAGTCCAAACAATTTAGTATGAAAAGCGTTAGAAATGGATAAGAGTAGTTTGTTAGGAGCTTTTACACTACTCATTATAGAATTTATAGAAGATCTAGTACAATTTTTGTATTCTTCTCGATATTGTAGTAGATTTAAAATGTGAGCTGAACGAAAAATGTAAAAAAGATATAATGTTTTTGAAAATCAAGAATCTAGATCAAGATTCAACTTCAGATCCCTTTAAACCAAATCTAGAAGATTTGGATTCCAGTGATTTCGACGTCTCCGCCGATTTGAAGGCCATTCAAATCGTGAGGCTCCAAGCGATGAGCATAGGTACAGAATCGCTCTTCGTTGACAAAGATCTGGAAGGCGTACTCTTCATTCACAATCTTCAAATCGAACCCAACGTCCTTCTCTAAGGCGATCTTGCCTTCACGTTCTTCGTTGCCCCATTCGTTGTTGATCAATGAGTTGCGCACGATGGCCTTCTCATCAAATCGGGGGTTGAAGTGAAGCGCGATGTCGCCATTCTTCTTCAACAAATTGATGTGGAAGCGTTTGCCCTTCTTCTCTGGGGTTCCGTAGATTAGCAGGGTCTTGCCTGGAATTTGAGTTTTAAAAAAAATTAAAAAAATTTTGAAACTTGACATTTTTTTATTTAAAAATTTATACAAGAGTAATTTCTAAAGCTTGAAACTCACCAGGAGTAAGACCATCACCAGGGATTCCGCTCTCGTATGGTACTGGATAGTACTTTCCGCTCCAGCTTATGTGGTTGATGAAAACATCACCGTCGATGGAGAAGTGAGTTACAGAAGACAATGGGATTCTGTGTTCAAACTCCTTGATCTCCTTCTGGTTGGCCGTGATTGTGAATCTGTTGTCGTGGGCACGAACACGGAGATCAACATCTTCTCCCTTCTTGAAGGGGTTTCCCTTTCTCTCTTCCTTACCCCATTCTCCCTTGGAGAAGGTGTTGAACACAATCTTGCCCTCATCGAATCTCACACTGATGTGAAGTGGCACATCGTTGCCGCTGAAGTCGGCGGTAGCGGTGTGGAGAGAGACGGTGAAGCGGACTGAGTCTTCGACGGTCTTTCCCTTCACGATCAGGGTTTGTCCTGGCTCGAAGGGCTCGGTCAGCTTGCTGCGGTATGGAATTGGCTGAAATTGGATAAATTATTGTGAAAATATGTAGATGATCATATGTATAAAAAAGTATTCAGAAGCAGAGTAGGTCATGAAAGACAAGGGTACGGCAAGAAATCAAGGTATGATAAAAAAGGGGTATTTTTTATGACTTGTACTACTCCAGCACGGTCAGTACAAATCATAAAGATAGGCATAAGATGTAAATGCCTTGTATTAGGTTGTACAAATAATTCTGTGTCCTATAAATCCAGAGAGTTGCTTTGCAAGGGGGCACAGAATTACTTGAACAACCTAATAGAAGGCAAAGCAATAAATCTCAAAATATTCCCCGTGCCCTATCCTTTCCTGTTTTTAAACTTGAAGGAGTTTCAACGTTTTTGAAGAAAATATTAAAGAAGAGGAGGAAGAAGGGAGGGAGTGACAGTCAGATAATAATTTTTATAAAAATTTTTTTAAAATTTAGTTTAAACTTACATAGCTTGATTCGGCAGCCATTTGTTCGTATCTCTTGTACTTGTCGAGATTTTCGGGTTCGGCTAAAATGATCGAAATTTAAAAAAAGTCATATTGAAAAGAAAAAAATTATTAAATGCTCATAAGATCTAAATTAAATCATCAAAACTACATCAAATCTAAGTTAACTCCTCAAAATGTCATTTAATCCAACTTAAACGTCAAAAATCAAGTTTTAAAGATCAAACGCCTTGTCAATAATAATAAAATAAAGTTCAAAACAAAAAAATAAATTTAAAAAAAAGAAGAAATCCCCCCCCGGCTGTTTACCGAAAGCACTCTCGACTTTTTTCTCGCTCAAAAAGCGCAAATTTTATTCAATTTGAGCACGCGACTCCGCCCCATTCGAGCTCCAAACAACATTACATTATTTGCTGTTAACGGACGAGCAAGTCCAAGAAGACGTTTCACGAGGTTAACAGAGACAAATAGTAACCAAAAAGCTGTGAATCATGGGAGAATTGGGAGAAAATAGACTTTTTTTTATATTGTAGCAGATACAGCTATTGGTGAGGCAATATTTGTAATCTACGATGAATTTTTAGATACTATAAGGTCTTGAAAAGCTTAAAGTAAGATTGATATAATACTATAAATGCCTTTTTTCATCAAAAAACGTCCTCAAAAGTCATGTACAATATAAAGAACTTGATGACAAAGCAACTTCCAACCCAAATTTGTAAAAATTTCAGCCATTTTTTGCATCTCCCCAGTATCAAAATGGCAATTATACCAAAACGGAAAGTTATTTGTCAAAAACGAATTCGAAACGTTTCAAAATCTGTTTCCCGTCGACATCGAATCTGTCATTGTGTCTACTGGGATTAAAACATATAGAGCAAAACCATTTCCAATACTTTTCGGATATTTAGTGGCTAAAACTTTGCTTTCAGGAAATACGTAATAAATAATGCAGTAAAATGACAATGACATGACGGGAGCTTTGTGACATTCAAGTTAGGGTTTGGATTGTAATGTTCTGGGGTAAAAGGTAGATATTAACCTTAGCTAATGACAATAATCTTGCCTTGATGATATTATGCCAAGCTTATTCTTGACCAAAAAATGTTTTTGTACTGTATTTACAGTCAAAATGAAAAAGTCTTGACGCTATTTTGTATTGCTTTGAGTGGTGAAAAACGTAAGGACTGTAGACATAGTAATATATCACATTGTTACTACAATTTAAAAAAAAGTTTTGATGACATTATCCGACCTAAAGCTGTATAAAGCATTACCAAATAAAATAAAAATGCCTCAGGCCACATATTTAAAAACTACGTGTAATACATTAACTCCAAAGCAGAATTAAGAAACCAGGCCGAGCTTAGTAGGCCCCCTCTCAGGACTGCTCCAAAATTGGTTCTAATCGACAAAAATTTAAATTTTCACAAACAGGAAACGTCTTATCATCTACACCCTTTTCCGGCCAGCCTTATCACTGCCATCGCCTTATTCTTCTTTTCTTCTCTGTACTCTCTATTTACTCATACTGTTATATCTTATGGTTTTGATAAGACTTTACTATATACTGTCAAGTACTATATAATGCATACTGTCAAGTCCAATTTTTAAGTCTACATAGTATCTTATACAGCATGTTTACTTAATTTTGTGCCTTCTCTCAAAGCGAATATTTAAAGTTAGGGAGCACATAATTACGTGAACAACCTAATAAATAGATAAGTATTTTAATAATAGGTTGTTCAAATAATTCTGAGCCTCTTCATTCCAAAAAATTACTTTAAGAGGGAGCACAGAATTATTTGAACAATCTGATAATTACTCATAAAAACTAAAATGAAAATCATTTTCGGCCCATAAACTTCCAACCCCGCATTCCAAGACCCTCTCCACACCCTGCGGCAACCAAAGCAATAACCTCGGAAACATTACTCATCAATAAAGTCATTATCATTTGTTTGCCCTCCAGCACCTACGCCGACCTTCGCAAAAAGGTTTTTTTTCGAATCGTAAAGTTTTGGGCGTTAATTAGAAGTAATTCATCGAAACTGTCATACAAATATCCGAAATGAAAAATCGTAAAAGTGGTTTGGGGATGAGTCAAACAGCTTCGTAATTACAACAAACCATACTTTTTGCCTGAAGAAAGCTGAAGATTTTGGAGAGAAATTTGGTTTTTAGACTATCTTACGTGGGTATTGCACTGGAGTTAAAAATATCAGTAGAAAAAGACAAACAAGACCAAAAAAGTGCGATAATCTTCATATTAACATCTACAAAGCTCCAAAAAGACCATTAAAAGCATAAAAGACACCAAAAACAAGATAAATTTATCTTAAAAAAACAAAAAAAAATAGCACCGATACCTATAAATTACCAAAAAAAACTCAACACAAGATCTAAACAGACCACTTGCAATAGAAAAAAAGCTCCAAAGAAATTACTTTAATACAAAAAACTTCAAAAGAACCATTTTAGTGTCGGAAAAGCTCTAAAAAGACTATTTACATACCTAACAAAGCTCCAAAAGTCCGTGAAAATACAAGAAAAATCTCAAAAAGAAGACGAATACACCTCAAAAGACACAATAACCTCAAGATCACCCTATATCAGTAACAAAAACCAAACTTACTAACGCAGATCAGAACCGGACTGACAATAAAAAGACTGTCAATATTTAGCCATGTACTCATCTACGAGTATGTTTCTAACAAAGTACAATGTTTACCCCACCCCAAAGGCTTGATTTTGCGCTTTTAAATTAAAAAGTTGAGTAAACAAAAGTGGGTTACGTGAGGAGTGAAATCAGATCTAGTGCAACACTTTCGAAGCACAAGGCTTTTCAAACTTTTAAACTTTTTTTAGCGAATCAAAAATGCGATTTGACCGGGTTTTCTCTAGTTTTCAATCCGGCCAGGCCTCCCCTAGCTTTTGATTCGACCGGGCTTTCACTTTCCCTAGCCGCAATTTAGCCAAGCTTTTTCTAAACAGCGATCTAAGCTGAGCTTTTCTTCAAAATGCCTTTGGCTTCGAGTTTTAAAAACTTTTTATAATTGCGATTTTGGCCAATTTTTCGTCTAAAATGCCTTAAGCTAAAAATTTAAAAATGCATTTTTTCAAAAATTAAAGAAAAATTAAAATTAATTTAATTTTTTTTATAAAATGCAATTCGGCTAAATCGCCTATCAAAAAGACCTCCTTGTTAAACAAAAAATATGCGAATTCAAAGCCAAATCGCGTTTATATTGTTCCTCTTTGATGCGAGTTTAAAGTCGTTGATCTATGGCAGTCGGATATAAAACAAGCCTCTATTAATCTGTGAGGAAAGTGCAGACAATGCCTACGGAAAGAGCCAATCGGCCGCAAAATTGATCGACATGTTTTACACAAAACAGTGATTCAGATGACTTGAGAGGTAGAAGCAAAAACTAAGGGCTTATAGAGCAAAAAAAATTATTTTGAATATTTTGAATTACAGTGTAGTAGATAGCATTAAATTGGTGATACAATAGATGTTTTTTGCAGGTAAAGTCTTATAACTAGCAAACAGACTTGGAAAAGGATTCACTAAGCCTGGCCCTTTTACAATTCTACAAGCAGTAGGTTATCAAACCATAATGCTTCAAAAAAATTTTAGGAGTTGGGAGCACAGAATTATTTGAACAACGTCACTTTACAAAGAGTGGTTAGAAAGTTGACATTATAAACAAGGTGCCATACTAATGAAATTCATACTAAAGACGTTTCGATGTACTACAAAAGATCAAATTTACTCAATAAAAAAACAAAATAAACTTGAAATAAGGAATGTCATTCCCAATATGAAGCTGCAAAAAGTGCTACGCTCATCAATTCTCCTAACCCCTTTAGCAAGCGTTTTATCAAAATAAACCTTTTGTGTACAATCACTTTCGTTTCTGGTTTTGAGGTTTGATCGTGGAAGAGAGAGCGGCCCTTTAAGAAAACTTTATTCCGAATGTTTAGAAACACACAACAAACAAGTTACATGCCCGTCTGGGAGTGTTTCTCGCTTCTCTGACTCTCTAACTCATGTCTCTCTTCCCACTTTTTTCTCTAGCGTCTCTCTCGTTCCTTTTAGCCTCATTTTGTCTCTCAAACGTCCCTTATCGTTCTTTGAAAAGAAAGACACAACTATCTATGACATTGTCTTGCTCTCTATTACTATCAAACAAACCTATTATATCTCGCAACTGTGTAGTAAGAGCTCAACATAGCGGTGAGTATTTACTTTATTGTCTTTTCCTTGACATTTACTTTGGCGGCAAGGTTAAAAGAGACATAAAGAGTAACAAAAAGTCACATTATACTGCAAAATGTCTTTTTTTGCACAACAAATTTAGATTTTAAAGAAAAAATGAAACTAAACATTAGTTTTACATTGTATAGTTAATGCCATACCAAACACAAAACTTATTATATATATAACCTATAACCATCTAACCTAGCATAAGGTAAGGAAAAGTTAAAAACCTTGATGAATTTTCTTTAAATTAAAGAGTAACCTAAATCAAAAAAGTAAAAAATTAAGTCATGATGACGCAATAATAATAAAAGCAAAAAGTTTTTACGATACGCTCTTTTAGATACGATAGATTGTTTACTAGACGCCCTTTACCTATAATAAAACAAAAAAAAACGAAAGAATTCAAAGGACGAGTGAACGTTGTCATAAAGATTGGCATTTGACGTCATCTCAAGGACAAAAAGTTGTAGGTTTTGGCGTGTGCTTTGTTTAAAAAAAGAAAAAGTGATTTTTGTAAGGCTTTGATGTGAGGGAGAGTAGGGCAGGGTTGAATAAAGTAGATAGATCTAGAGTAAAGTAAGTTATGGTAAGGTAGGATAGAGTAGAATAAGGCAAGACAACGTAGGGTAAGGCAGGGTAAAAAATATTTTATGGTCTATCAACATCAAGGTAAGACAGTCCCAATCGCAATTTCAAATAGTTTTTCAATGTAAATTGATACTGCAATTCGATTTAGTATTAAAAACATAATCGT